TTGAAATACACACAAATGGATTACAGTTTAGAGCTAAAGGAGAAGACAAAGTTCCAGTGCAGATTATGACACATGATAACAATTCATTTAAAGGCTGATGAGTACATTAGGGTTTTTAGTATATATAAGAAACGTTTTACTGATTGGCTTAATGAACTGAACTGTAGTGGAACTGTGTGAAGTGTCTTGAGACGACTCTTGTCTGACATGGTTTTGGGGACGAGTTCAACCCAAGACATGCAGAATCACCACTCACAAACCAAACAGGTAATAATTAAGTATCTTTATTAAAATAACCGGGAACTGAGAACGCACTGGATAAGGCCCAGTGGACTGCAACAGAACCGCAGTGTCTGAGGAGGGGAGAGCAGAGGAGCAGGTGAGTCCAGAGAGGTAAGTCAGAACTAGTTAGGTGCAGAGTTAAGACTTACAGGGAGCTCATCACACAAACATACACATAGAACCTTGGGGGGTGGACAAGTCAGGGAGTGCCGGTATGGACCCCATTTCCGCATTCCTGTGGAAACTTGCCCCCCAATTTTATTTGCACCTTATACACTTCCACCGATGACATTCCACGCAAACACACACTTAGGGCCTTGGGAGTGAGCACATTCAACGGCATTTGGCAGGGGGCTTTCTCAGCCTCCTCCCGAGTGCCGGTGCCCACTTCCAATTTTAAACTGCACTTAGACACCGAGGGCTGTGGGTGCAAGTGGGGTGGTGCGGTGGCATCTGCTGGCATAGGCCAGACAATGCCTGCACTGCCCGCTCACCACAGCCATGGAATACACCTCATCAACACACAACACTATATTGGAGCAGACGGAGGGAGACTAGGGGTCTTAGCACACCTCTGTTGTTGCTTGGCTTCCTGGGGCTGGAGACTAGGAGGGAGATCTGGCCGTCTGGTTGGGGTCTGGGGTGGTGGGTTGCTGTGCTCAGCGTTGGGCGGGGGAGCCTGCTCATCAGCACCCCCAGCAGAAAGGGTCAAATTCTGGTAACCGGTGATGGTTGTACCCCATGTGCGGCAGTACCGGGACCAGAGTGAATAGGGTGTGTATGGGGAGCATGAGTGGGTGTCCGGCGTGCATTTTTGTAAGTCTTTGGTTGTATGTGCATGTGTGAGCATGAGGGAGAGAGTGTGTGACTGTGTTTGTGTATGACTGTATATGTCAGCCTTTGACTCTTCCTCTCTCCTGGGACCTCCTTTGATGATATAGATCTTCGTCTCCCCTCCCCCCTGCCACACCTGGTGTGGGGTGTAGTGCCTTGGTCTGAGTGTTCGTGGCTCCCGGGTCAGGGGTTTTTAAGATTTGGCGTCTGCTTGATCAATCCCGGTGACTGCCTGGTGGGGTCTGGGTCCCTGGGCTCTGTTGGACCCCCGGCGGGGGTGGTCGCCCCTGGGTCCCGGGTTGCTGGGTCCCGGGCTCGGCCGGCTAGGGGGTGGGAGGCGGCGGGCGGGCCTGTGGGCTTTCCGCTGATATCTCCTGGGACTCGGCCGGCTGCTGGTTGTGGCCCCCCGGGGCGATCCTCTGCGCCTCTCGAGGGTGGCGGGGGCCTTTCTGGTTGCAGTCCCCTTGGGGTTCCTGTGTTCTGGGTCAGCGCCTGGATCTCTGGGACTTGGAGCTCCCCCCGTCTCCTATGCATCTTTAGGGGGAAGATCCGTGGTCCCTCACACTCTCTATTGGACGCTCCTGTAGATAAACCTTACATAAACGATCGTGTGTACACACACAGGTGCTCACATGGTGCTCTCAAAAGTATGGGCATGGGCACGTTCAACACTTGTCTCAAGGCTGTCGTTGCCACTAAATGCACTATGATTTATTATCGTGTGATTGTTCAGTTAAACAATGTGGATTTTATATTTCGTCATCACGTTGACGCAGTGATAGCTTGCTCCTGATGTATTGTTGTGTGTCCCATTTTTTTTCTGCTCTTCTCTTTCTGCAGGTCTAGAAGCAGACTCTTGTTCATTATTGTTTATTTTTGTGGGCCAAAGCTTGGTTTGCTTTTCTGGCAGTTAGTCGAGCTCGTTTCCGGAGAGAAGGCTACCTTTTGTCACAGATTCTGTTCATAACTTTCATGGACAAGATTTCTAGGTGTAGCCAAGGTGTTGAGGGGATCCGTTTTGGTGACATAAGGATCACGTCTCTGCATTTAGCAGATGATGTGGTCCTGTTGGCTTCATCAGAACGTGATCTCCAGCTACCGCTGTAGCGGTTCACAGCCAAATGTGAAGCAGCTGGGATGAGAATCAGCTCCTCATTCTAAATCTGAGACCATGGTCTTGAATCGGAAAAGGGTAGAATGTCTTCTCCAGGTCGGGGATGAGGTCCTGTCCCAAGTGGAGGAGTTTAAGTATCTCGGGGTCAGTGGCGGCTGGTGAAAAATATTTTTGGTGGGGCTGTGCTATTTTTTTGTTTAAACAAACTTGTGCTTTCTGAGCTTTGTGCACAACTTCACTATTTCCTGAATTAAGCACAGCTCTTTTATTTCCTGTCTTACATTATTGGACAAACTGATTAATCCAGGTGTGTCTGACTATTGGCAAACTGCCTTGCGGACCAAGGTTGAAAAATACTGCATTAAATTGCACATAAAATAACATCACCATAAATGGTAAATAGGCAATGCAAGAGGCAAGTAACAAAAACATTTTGTTTAATTTCAACATTTGAGTGAACACGAAAAATTATGAGCAGGTCACTGTTACAGTAATGGTAGTAAACACTATTTAGACAAAATGCCAGAAATTTACACTGTTAGGACTTATGGAAAGTGGAAACACTTTCATAGGAAATAATGTCATCAGTATCCTCTTACAAATGTCATATTTCCCACTTTTTGGGACAAATCAGAAATGTTTTATTGTCCCAAAAGCTGGGAAATTTGTTTGCTGCAGCAGAAGTGTAACAAGTAAAATGGAATCAGATTGATGTATGTACAAATTTACTTGAAATACACATTTACATGATTAAATATGTATAATAGGTATGTGTGTTGAAATTAGTTTTTACAGTTATTGCACATTAAACAATGTACATGTTATTAAACAAATGTCCCGGTTTGTGGGACAACCAAGGATTTCGGATTCTGATTGTCTTGTTTACAGAAATGTAATGTACAGCTTACCTCTGCACCCAGCTGCTGTTCTCCCTGTCCAAACGTCCTCCGTTTTCTTTGTTGGCTGCTGCTGCACTGATGCACTGCATTCCTCAGTCAGAGAATGAATGGAGTCCCCAATGAGACACAAGTTCCACATCCACCTTCTGTGGATCCCAGCCGTTTTGAATAACAAACACAGAAAGCAAAATAACGCATTAGCGTGATTGCATCCAGCTAGCCACTGCTTCCTGGTGTACCAATTTTGGGAGAAGCGTTGTGTGTACAGTTTACCCTTCTCCTCCTCCTGCTGGCTTATCTTTACGTCGGGCTGATCTTGTCCAAGCTCTTTGACATTAAGTTTTTCCACCATAGTTCTCCTCTCGAACGGATACTGGAGAAGAGACCGAACTGAATTCAGTGGCTGCTGAGATCCGGTATCCTGGTTGTAGGCTCACTGGTGTCCATGTCTGCGTCTGCTCCATGTGCGTCACGAGTCACGACCGAAAACGTGCTGGAGTCGAGACTCTCCGAGTTCTACCGAACACCAACGAAAGCCTTGGCGGTAGCTCTATCGCCCATCATGCTTCTGAAACGTTCTGAAACAACGTTGACGCTGATTGGATACATTCCCATTCCTACCCTTTGATTTTCTTGTCAGCAATTGGACAGCTGGTCTCGTCCTGTTTGGGCGATTGAAAAACAGCACACAGCCTCCACCGCTCGGCAGAGACCGGCAGAGATCGGCAGAGACCAATATATATATATATATATATATATATATATATATATATATATATATATATATATATATATATATATATATATATATATATATATATGATTTATTTTTGTTACAAAACACACAATTAACTTAGAATATGTGATTATTGTTAAATTTATTTATTTATTTTTTTAAATAAAAATTAAAAACAGTGGGGAAACTGGGAGGGCGGCGCCCTATCGCCCTCTACTGGCCAGCCGCCACTGCTCGGGGTCTTGTTCACGAGTGAGAAAGCTGGAGCATGAGATTGATAGGTGGATTGGTGATGTGCATCTACAGTGATGCGGGCGTTGTACTGATCTGTCATGGTGAAAAGAGCTGAGTCAGAAGGCAAAGCTCTCAATTTACCAGTCAATCTACGTTCCTACCCTCACCTATGGTCACGAGCTTTGTGACTGAAAGAACGAGATTGCGGATACAAGCGGCCAAAATTAGTTTTCTCCGCAGGATGGCTGGACTCGCCCTTAGAGATGGGGTGAGAAGCTCAATCATCTGGGAGGGGCTCGGAGTAGACCCGCTGCTCCGCCATGCAGAGAGAAGCCAGTTGAGGTGGCATCTGGTCAGGATGCCTCCTGGACGCTTCTCTGGTGAGTTTTTTTCCGGGCACGTCCTACTGGGAGGAGACCCAAGAGAAGACACAGGACACACTAGAGGGACTATATCTCTTGGCTGGCCAGGGAACGCCTAGGGATTCCCCCGGAGCAGCTGGCCCAATTAGCTGGGGGAGGGAAGTCTGGGTCTTTCAGCTTAGACTGCTGCTCCCTCGACCTGACTCCAGATGAGTGGATGAAAATGGATGGATGGATGGATGGAAATTAAACATGAGAAAATTTTTAAATAAATATAGGTGTACTGCTTTACTTGTAAAAATTAAACCCAATTATTAATTATTAGAAAGTGTGCAGACACACAACTAAAGCTTATAAATGCACTTACTGTTTTGTTTAAACACCTCCGAGCAGCGTCTCAGCAAAGATATGCAATCAGCTGCGAGAACTGTGTGTTTGATTTGTTGTAATATTTTGTAATAGAAACTGTACTATACACGCTGAAAATCAGAAACTGCATCATTATCAAATGTAATTGACAAATGAACAAAAACATAATATGAGCTTTACATTTTATATGGAATGCATTACCATAGTTGACAAAGAATGATCATCAATGGTCCAAAATGTCCATTTTTGTCCTTATTCACATTTCAACATTTTGTTTTCTGTCTGTTGAGTTTTCTGTCTCCTACAGAGTAACACGAGCATCATTCCAGAAGGGGGTCTACTGCGTTCTTTTTACAACCCGAATCGCCGCAATTTAAAAAGTATAAGTTAATCTCATCTGATAGCATGTTTTACAAATCATTTGACATTTTATATTAAAACGTCGAATTACTTCAGTTTCCATGGCAGGCACATGACGAACACACATTACAACAAACAAAATAAGAACACAACATGTTAAAGATACAGAGCATGTTATATTTCACTTTGATTTTATTCCTCATTGTGACGAGGGACTTGTGAGCCTTTCTTTCAAGGGTCATTTATGTTTCCCGATCAAAAACGCTCTTTCTAAAATTTAAAAATAAATAAATCACCATCCAGGTTGCAGATATTTAAGTGTGAAAATACAAAAACTCACAAACTAAAAAAACAAGACTATCTAATTCCAAATGAGGCACTGAAAGGTAAATGAATAACACAAAATAAATCAACTGTTTTTAATGTTTAGATAAAGAACAATAATAAAAAATGTTCAGCTTTACTGTCTGTGTCTTTAAATAACTAGCTCCTGCAACAATAAAGATCAGCTCAAGTCTTTTAGCCATAATCACAAACTCACATTAACTATCTGACTATAAGACCGTGTTTGGTCAGCTTCTGGGTGCTGCTCAGCAGGGTGAGGACAACACCTGGTCGTAGTCGGGACATTTAAGGAGAGCTGGGTAGCTGGCGCTCATCTGGAGTGAGGCTTCACTGGAGATGTCTGAGGGGCTCCTTCCACGTGACCAGGCCTCTGGGTGGAGGAACTGGCCAGAGTGGTCGGAGCAGTTACTGAGGCGCGGCCGGTAGAAGTTAGGGTGGCGTGGCTGGTAGAGCTCCTCGGCTGCGTACCGCTTCATGAACAGGTAGACAGACATGACGCCTGCACTCTGAAGGGAGGAAAAATGAAGATGCACATAAGTATAGAAGTCAACAAATTTGAAATTAAAGCATAGGTCATGTCCTTTTTATTAGGAACATTCCCATTTTAATAAGTTATTTTTAATTAATTCAAACATTTTTTAATAAAAAATTAGGTCTTTAACTAGAGGAAAGTTGCAGTGCCTAATAATGACCACTAGAGGACAGCAAGCTCATTGTGAGAAAACATCAGGAAGGATTTGGGCGTGGGGGGTGGGTGTGTGTGTGTGGTTAAAACACAACTTCCAACTATAACAAATAAAAAGGAAAATATGTCAAAGTTAATTAACAGAAACAGTAAAAAATTTGAGTTTTCTCTTTCTGCTTTAGTCCCAGCAAAGCAGAGAAGCTCAAAATAACCAACAGTGTTGACGTTCACTTAGTATTTATCACTCACACACACACACACACACACACACACACGCACGCACGCACGCACACACACACACACACACACACACGTCTGACTTTCTATCATAGTGAGGACCATCCATTGACTCCCATTCATGTTTGTGACTGTATTACGCCTAACACTAACCCATACCCTAACCGTAACCAATGCTGATTTATTCTTAACCCTAACCTTAACTAAAATTTAACTCACACTATACCTCTAAAACCAACTGGTGAGCTTAGAAAAACATGAGGACCAAATAAGAAAAATGTCCTCACATCGTAGGGAAAATGGTGAAAATGGTCCTCAATAGGTAGTAAGAACAAGTAACACACACACACACAGAGGAAGTGTGAGAGTGCCCTTGCTCATTTCCAACAATTCATACTTTTGTTGTTGCAGATCTATTACTATTATAAAAAACTCTGGAAGCAAAATCAAACTAACCTCGGTGAGCAGGAAGGAGAGCGCAGCGAAGGCAAAGGACCAGCCGTACTTATAGGAGAAGAAGGCCTCGCTGCTCTTCGTCCTGTTCAGAATCTCATCATTTATACTGGAGATGTAGAGCACTAGACCCACCACCAGGGCTAGTCCTGACATGCAGAAAGAAATATTTACATCAATAATCATTAACAACTGAGAGGGCCAGTAGAAGAAGGGTACCTGAAAGGATGAAGAAGATTCCTGAGACAAACGCCAGGATGGTGCGATGAGGACGGATGTGTCCAATGTTGCTGAGAACAAAACCGATGAACATGAACAAGAGGCTGACCAGAGGGAACGGAGTTGCTGAGCGGATCATCTCTGAGGAGGAGGAGGAGGAGGATGGTGTTTAACTTCACACAAAATTATTCTTGGTCTCAAATAAATAAAGCGATCTGCACATGTAGGAGTAAACCTGTACAAATGCATGAAAGATAAGACTTAGATTATTTAGGATGACAGCAACATCTGGATCTGGACACACCTTAAAAAAATTACATTTAGTAAAATATCAGCAGAAAATCATTTTATGGAAATTGACTAAATCAAAACCTAAAGCTCAATAAGGTGACCTCACTTTGAATTTCCTTTCTAAATAAGCCTCCTTTCTGCAGACAAAACAAAGCAAGAAAAGTTGTACGGTTAAGAGAAAAAAATGTGACTTTTCCAAGATTACATTGTGTTAAATCAGATTAGACGACTCAGTGAATTAATAGTAAGTCTTTGCCTTAAGGCTTAACCTTCAGCCCTGCTGACGGAGTTCATGTTGTCTGAGATGAAGCATTCTTGAAAGGAACAGTCAGAAACAGTTTTCAGATGACTCAGACCTAATCTGTCTGAAGGCTTTCAGATGAAACATTGCTGAATGAACCCATAATAAAAAAAAAAACTGCACGCCTTTATCAAAGAAATACCACAGCTGGCAACACGGACAGACTAAACGACTGCAGATGAAACTGTCAGTCCAAAGCTGCAGATTTTCGCTTCTGACTCACTGAGAATGTTCCCTGTGGCCTCTGACGTCAGCTTGATGTTCATGGGCATGATGTACTCGATGTTGAAGCAGCGGCCCGATTCCTCACCTGGAAGAGAAAGAGAGACATGCTCACCATCACCTTCAATAGACTCAGCAGTTCAGTAAAAGCATGGCCAGAGTTCAGAGTTCGTAGGGGCTAAGCAGGTAGAGTTACAATTTCAAAAAGCTTCTGAACTGTTATCTCAGGACAAATGTAGTTACATACTAATATTGAGGCATGACAAATATGAAAATCTTCTTTTAATTTGATTAGCAAGAAAATAGATGATTAAATAGGTCTTTAGGGATTTGGGTAAAGGTGCAATATGTAGGAATGACACCCTATGATCAAATTTGGGTACTGCAGGCCATTTTCTAAATAAAACGTGACTCTCTCGTTTAGTGGGGTTGATGATTGTTGCCAGTTACTGATCAGCACCAGAAGATTCTAGATGACAAACAAAGATGAGTCATACATAATAAGTTTAAAAGTAGATAAATTAAATTAAATTCAAGTTTATTTATATAGCACCAAATACGACAAGAGTCATCTTAAGGCTCTTCACATAGTAAACATTCCAATACAGGTCAGTTCATTAGGCCAATCAGTAAAAAGTTTCCTATACAAGGAACCCAGCAAATTGCATCAAGTCACTGACTAGTGTCAGTGACTTTACAGCAATCCTCATACTAAGCAAGCATTTAGCGACAGTGGAGAGGAAAACTCCCTTTTAAGAGGAAGAAACCTCCAGAGGATCCTGGCTCAGTATAAGCAGCCATCCACTACGACTCACTGGGGATCGAGAAGATAGAGCAACCACACGCACACACCAACATGTATACCAAGCAATGTTTCTATGGTTACATTGTGATTTCTTAGAAAATATTCTATTTGGTGAGAGATAAACTTTATTGTATTTATCCTAGTGAATATGATCTCTCTTTTTAATTCTCATCAGAACTCTAGCTGCAGCATTTTGGACAAGCTGAAGACTTTTAACTACATTCTGTGGATTTCCTGAGAGTGAATTACAGTAATCCAGTCTTGATGTAATAAATGCATGAAATAGTTTTCAGCATCACTCCTGGAAAGGATGCTTCTAATTTAGCAATTTTCCAAAGGTGGAAAAAGGAAATCCTACAAACCTGTTTAACGTGGGATTTGAATGATATGTCCTGGTCAAAGATAACACCAAGGTTCCTTACTTTGTTCTCGGACACTAATTTAATGCCATTCAGGTCAGGTGATTGACTAAGCAGTTTCCATTTCTGAATTTTAGATCCAAAGTGTCATGACTCCCATCCTTAACCCTCCTCTGCCTCCTCACAATCAACTTCATTCATCTCACCTGTTCCTGCAATGAGCTTCATCCACTTCACCTGCTCCTGACTCTTCAGCTCATCTCACACACCTGCTTCCCCTGCTATATATTCACCAGTAAACCACCAGTTCCCTGCCAGATTACTACAGCCCTGCCAGTAATTCTCCAGCGATTCACCCTGCCTGATTTCTGCCTCCGGACCTTGTTTTTTCTCCTGACCCCTGCCTTGAACTCTGCCTGCCATTTCTACCTTCGCCTGTCCCCGACTCTGTCTCCAGCCTCGCCCAAATCGGGTAACTCCGTTTAAAATAAAATATTTTTTTAATATATTTTTACTGTGTTGGTGTTTTCACTGGTCTTCTGAGTTCTGTTCATGACACAAAGATGAGAACTTCAGTCTTGTCTTGATTTAAAAGCAGAAAGTTTAGAGTCATCCATTTTTTTATGTCTTCAAGACAAGCCTGTAATCTACCTAACCGATTAGGTTCATCGTGGTTAAATACAATGCTATATCTGGTGCTAGCACTCTAGGGTGTTTTATGGTAGTGAGCACTTACTACACTTATTATGGTATGCCTGTGGCATTAGAGGGAGTACAGATGTTTGTCATCTTGTTGTTAGCTTGCTGTTAAGAGTTCTAAGGAAGCGTGCCCCAGCTGTGGCTACATTGTAGCTCATCACCATCAGTGTGTGTGAATGGATGAATGATACACTGTAGTGTAAAGCACTTTGGAGTCCTCGAACTCTGAAAGGCGCTACACAAGTGTGGGTAATTGATCATTTAAAACACCATGCCTGATTCATTATTCACTTCACACACACATTACACTGTAAAATGGAGTTGTTGGTGATTGAGATTTTTTTAGAGCTGACTTGATTATAATTAACCGTTAGTATTGTTAGCTCAACGTTAAACAGAAAGCATGCTGTGGCTTCTTAGCGGTGCAAAAATAACTTCAGGGTCGCCATGATACTGGCTTAGGTTCTTTATACACTGAACAAAAATATGAACACAACACTTTTGTTTTTGCTCTCATTTTTCATGAGCTGAACTCAAACAGCTGTCCACATACATAAAACACCCATGACTCTCAAATATTGTTCTGAAATCTGTTTACATGTGTGTTAGTGAGCACTTTTCCTTTACCAAGATAATCCATCCCACCTCACAGGTCTGGCAAATCAAGGGGCTGATTAGACAGCATGAATAATGTACAGGTGAGCCTTGGACTGCCCACAATAAAAGGACACCCTGACATGTGCTGTTTGATGCAACAGCACAATGCCACAGATGTTGCAAACTTTGAGGGAGCGTGCAACTGGCATGCTGACTGCAGGAATGTCTACCAGAGCTGTTGCCCATGAAATTAATGTTAATTTCTCTACCATATGCCGTCTTCAAAGGCGTTCCAGAGAATTTGGCAGTACATCTAACTGGCCTTGGTTGGACCCATTCAGCATGTTCACCTCCAGAGTCACCTGAGACCAGCCACCCGGACAGCTGCAGCAACAGTCGGTTTGCATAACCAGCGAATTTCTGCACAAATTGTCAGAAACTGTGTGTTTATTTAATGGAAACTTTCAGAAAGTAATCTGTTACGTGCTCTGCCCCATTAAGTCCACAAGATGGCCTCAGTGGATTCTGCCTCATCTGTCTCCTGCTCAGCTGTGTGTAATGGGCAATCATGCATCAGCTGTTAAAAGCTGCTCTCCTGCCCACAGTCTTTGAGAAGGTCCAGGGTAGTGGAGACTCGGAAGGGTTTTTGCTGCTCTCTTCTCCTCGCCTGCGTTCGTTAGCTTCGGCTTTAGATATTCGATTTGATATTAGGATTAGAATCTGACTCTCTGGTAACCCTGACCTAGTAACGGCTCTTTGACTCTGCTTGTGGACTTTTCCCAGCGTCCCTGCTTAACAGGACGTCCCTCAATTAGCTTGGGGATTGTAGTAATTGTATTTCGGTTAGTTAATACCCCCTCCCGGCCCCTTATGGGCCGGCACTTTTAGTTTCCCTTCTGTGTATATCTCCTTTAGTTTTGTATATATTATGGCCGTAACTATGTTTGGCTTTTCTGCTCATTTTAAATATATTATTCAACATTTTCTAAATGTTTTTTTTATATTTTTACAGTTTTTGTTTTTGTGAAGCACCTCGTGAGTTTTATCTTGAGAGGCGCTATAGAAATGCTACTTTCTTCTTCTTCCTGTAATTAAAATCCTTAGTACAGCGACACTGCACTCCGTTATTATTCAACCCACACTCTAACTTTATTTCTCCCTCAACAACATCTCTCCTAGCGGGCCGAGGGACATAATAAATCTAAAGATGTATATCCACAACCGACTGGTTTTTGACTTAGAGATGGCCACCATAGCAAATCAGCGTTAGCAAACAGGAAAATGGCTACAGCAGCTCAGAAAAATAACCAACCGGCCAGAAAACAGACTCTCCAGAGGCCAGAGTGCAGAGAAGCCTTGATGTCGGTGGTCTGGTTCAGAGGCATGATGACGCCCTCCTCCAGGTACAGCCAGTAATCTGTGCTCACTGCCACTCCCAGCAGACCCAGGCCACTGATTGCAAAGACACTGCTGAGTAAAGTCAGAGCCTTCCTGCTGCACGCACTCATGGCCTCCACAGACTGGTGGTTAGAAGTAAGGAAAGGTTCCTGGAGCAATCTAGAGGAAGGAGGAGACAAACGGGCTTTACTGATGAGATACCCATGGAGGATGAAAATACAAATCACAAAACAGACAAACTAGAAATAGCATTTTATGATTTGGTTTGTAGATGTTTTATAAAAAAAAAACTTTAATTCAGCAATAAATCACTGGAGTTCAAATCATGTAGCAGTGCTTCAGACCTGTACATTTAGAATAACCTATTCCTGGAAAATAAGAAGTTTGAATTTTGTAAAGGAACCAAAACTTCAGCTGTTGCATTTATTAGATTCTTTTCTCGTTTTAAAGGAGCAAAGGGGAAATTTTGCATGATTATTTCTTCATACTTAAGATTTTAATGTGTTCTGGAGCACTGAAGGAAATGAACTGTTGTTGGAAATCCTTACACATTCAAAGAAAATGAACTCATTTTGAAGAGTCATGCTTTCTGTAGGGAATGTCACTTAGCAGCTCTGTGTAGGAGGTTATTAGTGTTGTCCACATCAGAGAAAAAAGGGGGAATCTGCTACCTTTATCTTTTTTTGAGATTCTGAAAAAAAACTGTCATAGCTTTGCAGATTTTCATGCAAACAAGCAGCAGGAGCTTAATGCAATCACTTCTCTGGCTTTGGACTAAAAACATGTTTAGGGTTCAGACCTGACACACACACAAAAGGAGAATTGTGAAAAAAATGATAAATGATTGACAAAAAACTTTTTTGAGCTTGCATTTTGCAGATCCTTTAGATTTAAAAATCCACTTTATTCTTAATGAGCAGCTTATGATAGGCACAATTTCCTTATTTGTTGTTTTATTTTTAGCATTTTTCTCACATGGAAGAGATGCAGCCTTCTGTTTTTATTCTCTCCATATCCCGTCTGACTCCATCCAGCCTGCCATGAGCGGTATAATAAAGCCTGAGTCCATAATAAAGATGTTTGAGCCTCCAGACGGAAAGAGATGAAATGTGTTCCCACCAACCGCTGGGAATACAAATGTCTGAATCATTTAAAATCCAGAACTCGTTTTTGACATTTCTCAGACACGAATTTGGCCACGGTGGAAAAGGCCGGTCATGATCGTGATGGAGATTTGGTCGACTGATCACAGAGTGAGAGCTGAGGAGGGAAGGTGATTAAAATCCCAGTCAGGACTCGTGTGGATGTGTGACGACCCGTTAGAGGACAGACTGTCAGGAAGAAGCCAAAGGGAAGAATATAGCTTTGTAAATGTGCTCAAAATTATCAAACATTTGTCCAACCGTTCAAGTGAAAACTTACGTAAAAACATGACCTAATTTTATTAATAAAAACTTCTCAGAATTCAGGTTTTAGTGTGAAAGGAGCCCACATTCAGCGATGCGTCAGACTGGTGCTTTGTGCCTCCAGACCCCTGTTGCTAGCTGCCATCCCCAGATAACAAGAGGAAGTTGTTTCAGAGATGAGAAATCAAAGATTTTCATACATCTGTGAAATCCAACAGAGTGATTGGAGTTTGGACCTCCATGATGCTCCTCACAGCTTTATTTGAGTTAAAACAACGGGACTGTCTCAAGGTTTTAACATAAAATAAATGTGCCTCAGAAAACACCTTTACTGACAGTTATCGGTGGCGTTGTGAAATAAATAAATCACTGTTTAAAAGTGTTCTAACTATGGATTCATCCTGCCATAGCAATGCTTCATCTACTGATGACTACAGGATAAAGCACAGTGTCACAAAGCTCACCCATAACTGATGAGTTCACTAAACTCCAACGACCTCCACGGTCACCAGATCTCAAATCAGTCCAGAACCTTTGAGATGTGGTCAGGGGCGCCTCCAGAAAATTGTGATGGGGTGGCCAGACAGGGCCAAAGAAATATTTAGGGTGGCACACCAAATTGGTCCTTGTAACTCTGGGAGAGTTTAGCCTGTGGCGATGAATTGCATTGCTCCTTTATTCATTTTTATTTTTAAAAACAGTACGTATCCAAAACGTTTAACTTACATTTTACAAATACAAACATTTCAGAAAAATACATTTCAGTTATTTAAAATGTTATTTCGAATTTTATTTCAAAATATATTTTTTTAGTTTAATTCACCTGCTGCTGTGTTCTCAAAAAACCCTTTTAAAAACTTTTTTAAAAGGGTGAGCAGCAGAAACAAATGCATTATTTTTATTCTGATTACTTCTTTACTCATTAATTGCCTCATTTTTTAATTTTGTTTTACAATTATGTCTTGAATCAACAAGATCAATTTATGGTTTGAGTGAACATTAACATGATTTATTAACACTGGCATTTGCCAGAGGGGGGACAGAAATTTTCTAGGGCACCCCTGGCCAACCCTTCGGGGTTGGATGTGGTGGATCAGGAGGTTCTCATCATGGATGTAACTGTGTGACATCGTCATGTTAAAGGTGGAATATGGAACATGAACACTGAAGCAACATCTAGGGTGTGGAGGTTGTAGAACAACAGAACAAGGTTTACCACCAGATACCAGGTTTGCTGCAGATATATGAAACTTTTGATTTGGGTCCATCTGTTGTAGGCTTCATCTAACCTCACTCAGAAAGATAAGAGCATCTTCTGGGCTCATAAGCAGTTGCTTGACTTGCTGAGTCCACCATTTTCCACAGGGCCAGCCTTGCTGTGTAGAGCGGACCCTTTGCCCTCTATTGGCTGGTAGATATAAACATAAATCCAGTGCTATACCCGTCAAAATAAAATTTTGATTATTTTTTTAATTAAAATATTGATTTTAATGGAAATACTGTACCTTCATTCTGCACCAAACGCCATGTGGAGGTATAATTAAAAAAAGAAAACATTAAAGCTTTAAATTCAATAGTTCCATATTCAGCCTTTAATGTGGACCAGAACCTTTCAGCAAGGTTTCCAACACCTTGCTGACCCAGGGAATATCTAGAAAGCATAAGGCATCCCATCTGATCCTAATGTGGTTTGCTTAATAAAGTTACTGATAAGGTTATTTGTGCCATGACAACATTGTTTCAACAGGTTGTGTTCATTATGCAAAAATAGACATTTAAAGTCAAACTCTTCTGGTTTGTAAAATAATACATCTTTAAATCAAGCCAAATAGTTCTTCAAATTGAGAAACGTAAGCAAACATTTAAAAAAATCAACACATTTTAGAATATGTGTTTACATAAAGTTAATCACACTAATAAATATGGTAATTCTAAGTTTAACCAAAACCAACATGATGCGGTTGTTTTATTTATTTTGGTTGTTTTAGTAGAACTTCAGTTTTGTCCCCTCACTGAATAAAATTGAGTTATAATAACTATAGATTTTACAGTGCAATTAAAGAGTATTTATTATCTGAAATAATTCCGTTTCACCTATAACACATGTATGACTGAGGCGAGAGACACACAGCACCATTACTGCTTTTACAACTCAGAGGGAAAAAACATTCTAACGTCACTTTATTTAATAATTCTCTTTAAAAATCACCACACAGATGCGCAAAACACGATGCGGTATTAATGTGAACTCAAACGTCTCACAAGCGCTAAACTAAACTACCACCATGCGGCAATCACGCAACAAGCGCGCGTGGTTTGCGTTCTGCGTTTGACTCTGCCAGCTATGCTGTTTGCGCCTACCTGTTTCTGTTTCTGACCAGTCCAGTCCGGTTTGAGTTGCGTACGAAGAGATGAATGTTGACTCGTCTGCGTGGTTGCTCTCTATGGGTTCGCTGCAGCCGCGCGCAGGACGCAGCCGCGTGCCAGAGTTGCTGCAGGTTGCAGGACGCTCCCAGCTCCTCATGCAAATCAACCCGGAGTGTTCAACCGGCTCCCGTTTAAAGGCAAAGGCTGGGAATGAGCTGACAACGGATGCAAAAGTAAATTCTGTCTCATTCATTTAAATTATTTTTGTATACTTTATATATTTGTTTCAAACACATTATAAAAAAAAATGAATTTGAGAAATTGTAAATAGAAAGAGTGAACGAATGAGATTATTCTGGTGACAAAACTCAGACAGAATTTCAGATGTAGAAAATGAGTGAGTTGGTTCAGTGACAAAACCCCTGATAGTCAACTGAGGTGCTTTTGGGAAAGCTTCCCAGTAAACATGGCAGACATGTTGGTCTGTCCCTTTTGATTGACTAGATAGTGATATGACTTATCTGCCATCTGCACATTAAATCATGTCCCAACCACGCAGCAGACAAAACACAAGACACTTTCATAGGGTGCGTATGCCTCAGCTGCTAAATTTTCTTTGAAGTCACAAGAACTTATTTTGAACTGTTGAGGTATTTTCTACTCCTGGGATGATGGTGGCAGGAGTTAAGTGCATATCTGTCTCCTAACCGGAAGGTTGCAGGATTGATGTTTTGGGTTGACTTAACCTGCCTTGCCAGCTGGCAGTGGTCAGAGGGGCCGGTGGCACCGGTTTTCGGCAGTCTTCTATCCGTCAGTGTACCCCAGGGCAGCTGTGGCTACACTGTAGCTCCTCACCAACGCGTGAACGTGTGCGTGAGTGGATGTGTTGTGATGTGCCTTGGGTGGGGGGTGGGGGGTTTGGTTCAGGGATACAAGTTTACAAAAACCAAGGACTGATCTCAACTTAGCTCATATTGACATTTTAATGGTACACAGGGGATAATCAGAAGAGCTTTCCCTATCAACTCACTAAATTAAATGTTAATCTACCAGTTTAACCAGAACTGCATCACAAAGTGACACCTTTAAAGTGTTTCAGAATAGCTGATCTGAACAACTTAATATTAGTATTTATGTTTCCTTCAGAATAAGAGTTTCTTCTGAACACTTGGATACAAAATACAGTTTTCTGTGGTGAATGCCCTACAGATAAAACCTTAGTATCTGCTATACTTTCTAGTGATACCGTAAATCCTCTAATATTAGCCTGTATTCAATTAACTGCCGGGTATCATATTTTGGCCGGTGTCGGAATCAGCGGAGGTGAATAATGGCCAGTTTTTTATTGTGGCCGGGTGGAATGTGGTAACAAGAAAGTACGGGTGGTGGTTGTGTCATCCGTCTCACTTGTGATTTGCCAGTGATAGACCGCGAGGGTAACTTTAACCGTGCGGAGACAAAGAGGAGGCGACAATTTGATATCGAGTTCAAAGAGAACGTGCTGATTATGCTGCAGAACACTCTGGGGAGCAGTAGGGGTTGTATGAACTAGTCGACTAGTCGACTTCACCGCTCTATAGTGACTTTTTATGCCTGTCGTCGACTAGTCGCTGTCACGTGATAATGACCGGCAAGATGCAGTCCATGGAAAAGACAGCAGCCTGCTGTCAGCAGGTGACAAGCTCCTGCGCGTTGGGAGGCAACGCGTTGTGCCAGAGCGTCGGTACCGACACCCGCCGTAAAACGGACATTTAACCAAATTGTGACCAATTTAACCTTCCCCTCATCCCCATCCTAACCTCATATTAACCAGCTTGCGCATGCAAAGCTCTGATTGTTGACGCGCTCCAGACATCTGCGTCCTGAGCACGGCCACAGTAACATTATCAAATCAGGTGTCGCCACCTCAAAAACTAATTTAACACGCGATCGTTCATGTCGGCTCATTTCCTTTTATGTTTTCTGTCTTTTATTCTTTTATTTGTGCCTGATGCGTTTCGCTGCTGTGGATCGGGGGCATCACCTGTTTTGTCATTGGTGACGCACCTAACTGACATGTCCGGCGAGCACTCCGCTGTTTTTGCGGTCGGTAGATCTTTTAGAACTGCAGTTCAAAGGTAACTCATAAGGTGAATATATATGAACCCAGGTAGCAGTTTTTCTTTAGGATTGAGAGGAGATGCAGGAAGATAATAAACAGAGACAGGACAGAAAAACAGTCAAATAAAAACAAGTTAGTTTTTGTACCTGGTGGTTGCAACAAACAGACACCATTGAAGGTAATCAGAAGTGAGGAACAGAAAATTAAATAATTATTTTAATGTTTAGAGCAGCAGGAACTCTGAGAGGCTGCAGGCGCAACAGTGAGTTTGCGGCCTCCGCAGGGGGAGGGGGGAGAGGGCTGAAGCAGAAACTACCGTTGTTAATAGAGATGTGTTTAACTTTGAAAATGTGGGCGCAATTTTAATTGTCAAACTCCAGCGAACCATTAGTTCATTTTGCTCAAATAGAAATTGAGGCCTGCCTCTAATTCTGGTCCTCCTTCCAATAAAGGCCTGGAACTTGATGAGCTTGAGTCAAATACAGGCCCAGGCCTGTATTAGAGGATTTACGGTATTTGATGTACGTGGGCATCAGATGAGTGTGACCCTTTACAAATAAAGTGGAAGATATAGTCAGTATCTCCCTGTGTGAGCAACATGCACACTGTAGAGCATTTATTTTTGGGTAGCTGCTGACTAAAGTGTAAGCTCCACCCAGGCTGTCTTATGGGGGAAAATGGGAAGCATCATGTAAGGTGACTATATTATTTAGTTTTCAGTTACACAGCAGCTTTAAAAGAAACCAGAGGGGACGAGAGGATAAACATCCATCTGTTCTTGCCGTTGGCTGCTTTCATTAAGGTGCACCCACGTCCTCAAAATCCTGTAATGGTCTACGTGTACTTTTATTGTGCAAACTTATTTTGAGTTTAAGATTGTTGTAAGCATCCATTTTCAACATGCAGGTTTAAAAAAAAAAACATATGATCTCTGTTACCCAGAAACTAGAGTCTTGAGGCACAGGAGTGATGCAGAGCCAAGTAGACGGTATTTCTGCTTCAGTTGCTGCTGCTGAACTCCGAAGGTGGGATGGCTGATGGTGTTGTTTGGTGAGCCTGTGCATGGTGAATTAAAGTTGAACGGGACAAAATGGGATTTTTTTATGAAGCTCCTAAGTTTAATCCTTCCACTGTCCTCATGGGTGACACCTCACCCCTGCCACGAGGACCTCAAGGGATAAACCATCAACCCTGCTCAATGGTCAGCTTTCCTGGCGGGGCCAACCATGAGGACAGTGGAAGGGTTAAAGAATTACTTTGAAAAAAGTTCAGGAAGTCTAAAGAACCAGTCGTCAAGTCCACTTTCATTGTAACAGAACAGTCCGGCTGCTTAAATGCAAAATAAGGGCTGGTTTATGTATGCCCCACCTTTTATTTGTTTATTGTAACGCCCAGCAATGGTCATCACAAATAAAATCATCGATTTGCCTACGCTACATTATTCACCAGTGTTTTGTTATTTTTATCACTGGAAGATGTTTGGGTGGTAGCTAGCCTAGTGAACCTGACCAAATTCTTTCTTTGCAAAATTTGGTCTGTGAACGCTCCACTGGAACTTCCGCAGACCCTAGCAGCATGCTGGCTGGCCAATCACAGCTCTCTATAGGGGTTAGAAACACGTAGAGCGCTGTGACTGTTCCACAATGGTGTGGCAGTGACAGCGCTTTTTCTGCTTTGTGGACCAATCACAGCGCTTTGTCCGCCTATCAGGCCCCTCTACTCGTCTGGTGGGCGGGATGGTGCAACAGAGTGGAACAAGATGGCGACATCTCGTTTGTAACAGCTTTTACATCCACTTTGGACTATTGTGACTTGGGCTTTATTAGAACCAGGAGCAGATGGATGTATTTAAGTCCTTTATTTAGAAAAAAAAAGTATTTTCTTTCTTCTTCAACAGCAGACTGCCTCGTTTACCGACATCCATTGCGGTGAGTACGTCACATTTGTCATTGTCTGGTAGCATAAGATTGTTTGAAAGACAATGGTAGAACCCGCCCCACGACGGAGAGCCGTCAAGGGAGCCTTCCCAGACCAAATAATATATTTATTCATGTTTATGTTTATTCATTTAACAGACGCTTTTATCCAAAGCGACTTACAATTCATGACCCATAGGGCATGTTGTGATCTGTGGGGGAAACCGGAATACCCGTAGGAAACCCACGCATGCATGGGGAGAACACGCAACTCCACGCAGAAAGGCCGCAGCCGAGTTTCGAACCTGCAACCTTTGTGCTGCGAGGCAACAGTGCTAACAACTGCGCCACCATGCAGCGCTATTTATTTAGTGTGGCTTGCCAGGTTAGCTGTTTTCAATAGACAAACACAGCCCATCGCTCTCCCGGTGGCTGCTGGATGTAGGCACCAGCTCCCTGTGAGCCCCCCCCAGGATGAAACGCTCTGATGCACATCTACATTTGGAGTCAGACAGATTCAATATGGCGGCTACTGCTAATTAAACACAGCCTATCACAAATATGATCATAACTCAGTCAGTTCTATGGATATTGCGCTAAAACTAATACTGAGTCATCCTCACTATAGTATGATATATTAGCTTAAAACATGGGTGTTATGCTTTCAAGTCAACCCTGTAAGCCATCATTTACCGTTCACATTCTTTGTTTAAAACTTTCACATGAAAAGTGGAGGGAGCTATTAATTATGCATTTTTTTTATTACTCCTGCCTAAGTAAGCTTAATTGATAAATACGTGTTATCTGATGAACTGTTGTACAACAATACGTCATTTTCACAACAAACTGTAATATTCTGCTGTATATATTTCATACTTTATTGGTACAGTTTCCATCATACCACAATCAACAGAGGAACAAGAAGGTTAACAAAGCAGGGCCAGTAGAAGGAACACATGGTTCTTCTCAAACATTTGATTATCTCCACAACTGATTTGAAGTGGTTGTTGTTGTTTCCTGTGATTATTTCTTCTACATGGGTTCTCAATGTGAGACATGTAAACATTCGATTTCACCTTGAAGGTTTCATTTTGGTCCAGATGTGCAACAGGCGCAAAGTCAGTCATGAACTACTTTAAAATCTAAATGTGGCCTTTTGAATCTTTGCTATTGTGAGTTTTTAAAAAAGGTAAAAATAACGATTTTGGATTTTGGCACCAGAGAACAGATGAAAAAATGTTCACATATTTCTGATTTAGCTCGTTGACAGTTAAGAGCTACACGACGGCGAGCGTTGAACGACATAAGAAAACACACGATGCTGGTTGGTTGTTTCATTCGGCGTTACTCCATGTTCCACAGCGGGGTTCTCTGTATCATGCAGGGGTCTTTTTCATGCTCGGATCAGGCCTCGCCGCACACATGCACACTAAATATATAAAGACAGGACGTGTTTGGACCGCAGGGCGCTCCGGGTTGACTCCGTTTGGGATTGGGTTTGTTACAGCGGGAGTCGACCCTGACAGGACCAAGGCAAGAGGGCGTTCGGCTGCTCCACGCACAACAAAGTGCTGCATATTCTTTATGACACAGAGTATAAAACACTGGATAAATACTCAATACATGTATAACAGGGTTCGCCGTTACCAAAGCTACCAAAGAATCAGCCAAACTTTAAATATTTAAATATAACATCTGTCTTCAGGTCTAATCTAAACATAAAAATGTTTAAACTGCCTATGGTAATAAAAGCACATTCATTTTGTGGTATAAAATCTGCCAGCAACTCCTTTTTTCAGTCATATTTACAAAAAAGGGACACGTTAGAGACATTTCTGGACATAAAAGAGAGGAAGATAATGTTTTTCCCATCAGAACCAACGGAGAACAGATATATATCGACATCATTTTACATCGTGGGTCTAAACTTTACAGTGATACAAGACGCATCCTAAACTCTACAGCTCACACAGTCAGAAAACAAGCATGCGACAGAGATTGTGGATATGAAAATAGCATTTTAATACTTGAAAACGTTTCTGACTTAACGGCTGCAGGACGCATCTGCACACTGAAAAGTGGAACGCAATCCGCTTCAGCTTCTCCACAAAGAGTTTGATATATTGTAGTTGCACGTTACAAAACAACAGATGCAGACTTGTTTTAAGGGAAAGGTTCCAAGGAGAAAAACACATCATCGTTTTTTCGTCATCTCAATTTTGGCACTGGAGTAGCTGTTTACGATCATTTTTAAAAGTATATAAATATACATGTAGATAAAGATATCTGTTCTTTTCGTGCAGAAGTGTGATTAAATCTTTAAACACCAAACGGAGATAGTAACTGATACTGAGACACATTCATTCACAAGATAAAGGCTGTGGAGAACCCCACAGCTGTGTGTTTGGAAACGCAGATTCAGGGTAAGAAACAGTGTGTGTGTACGTTGATTTTCATCTTTCCAACATTCCTAACTCCTTGGTCATTTCTGTGCACAGGAATTGGTAACTGTTAAGACACAAACTAGAGGGTTATACGAGTCTTTCAACAGCCTGGTGTTCGCAGGACGCTGGCTCCTCCTCATACCACGCTGTGCAGGGACGGGTGGATGAACTGTGGGTTGACGTAGGAGAAACCGGCAAACTCGCTCTGGTCGATGTTGGCGATGACCAGTTGGTCTGGAGGGGTCAACACCGGCTGGGTGCGCGTGAAAAATTTGTCAAAGTTTTCTGCCCCCTTGCCACACTGGAAAGAGAAAATCTAAAGTTAGATAGAGTTCTTTAGTTTGGACACAAACACAAAGCACCATCAGCATCCAGTTCTGCCCAGGATTTAGTTTCATACTCCAGCTTTTTCATTTCCTCAGATGTATGCCAGACGCATTCTGATGCTCGAGCCAGAGAGTCGCAGACGGACCTCTGCTTGCTCGACCCATGACGCAGTTTCTGTGCTCACAGCTGTGATACGGCACCCAAAGCATCCTGAACTAATGCTTCCCTTTTTCTCCCTTGTGTGTGTGGTGCATCCGCATTTGTTCTATTGTGGATGCAAAATGAACCTCCGAGCTATTTTTAACCCTCAGTGGCAGCGCTGCAGCCAATCTGAGCTCCAAGAGGGTGAGGGATGCGGGGTCAGGAAATGCAAAAGGAGTGTTTTAGTAGCAACAGGGTGAGGTTTAGTTATTAGGAGTGTGAGCGGCTGTTAGCTGTGTGCGATATATTTACCATCATAACCGGCTTCAGAGCAACGTGCACACACATTCACACAAATGCTCCTGAGACCTCTGGGAAATGATCGGAATTATTCAACAGCGACACAAAATGTCAGCTCTACTGAAACATGACGTGATGCTTTATGATTTTACATCCACATCTCATTTATGGATAAATATAGGGTTAGGGTTATCAAATTAAATAGAAACAAAGAACCAAGAAGTCCTCTGAAAAGTCAGGTTTAAATGTGGCTCAATAACATTTCCAACTGCATCTACTTTAACTGTGGGTTGTTCAGAATTATTAGAGAAATTAGAGAAAAGGCAGAATTATTCCTTGTTCACTTTCATGCACCTTTATTAGTGATCTGTAACACGTTCATGAACAAGCCACATGGTTATTTTATTTGTTCTATAAAACTAAATACAGTTTGGAGCCAAAAATTCAAAATACCTCAAATAAAATCAAACATTTTTGGGGTTTCAAGCACCTTAGTGAACTTCATTCTCACCTTGTGCCGGACAAACTTATGCAGCCGGTTAAGCAAAAGTCAACAACCTGCAGGTTGACCTAACCAGCTGTATATATGGTAAATGGTAAATGGCCTGTATTTGATATAGCACCTTCTAGTCCTGGAACCCCCCAAGGTGCATTACAATACAATCATTCACCCATTCACACACTGGCGGGGATGAGCTACGATGTAGCCACAGCTGCCCTGGGGCGCACTCACAGAGGCGAGGCTGCCGAGCACATGCGCCACCACCAGCAGGCAAGGGGGGTTAAGTGTCTTGCCCAAGGACACAACGCCAGCGATAGACTGAGCGGGGCTTGAACCTACAACCTTCCGATTACGGGAAGAGCACTCAACTCTTGTGCCACCGTCGCTCACATGTATACATGTCTTCTACTCCTAATTAAATATCTTTGAAGTGTATTCTAAAATCCTTCAAAGGAACACAATGTTTGACCAATAATGTGCCAGAATTCAGAAGTAATGTCAAATAAATGGCGACAGAATGTTTTTTTATAATTGTTTTTAAGTTTTAATGCCTAAAAACTGGAATAAAGATATTTTTTTAATTTAAAGTGGTGAAATCTGCTACACGGTTAAAAGTTTAACAGGACTTGGCTTCATATGTAAATGACACCTTGACACAGAATGGTGATTAGAACGCTAACTCTTTACCCAGAGGCTCAACCACCTGGTGGAGAACATCTAAGTACCTGTTACCCATTGATGCAATAGCTAAAAAAAAAGAAAATAAAAAATAAACATCTTTGAATAATACATTTCACATTAGTAATTTGAAGCAATATTATTATAATTAAGATTGTTATTACACAAATGGAGGCAGTGGTGGGCAGTCAGGGCCAGCAAAGCCTTCTCTGCTGGCCTAAACGTACTCAAAAACGTAAATGTATTTTCTTTCCTTTGGTAAATATTTTTAAATAAAAAAAATGTTCACTGGTCTATTTTCTTTATATCCTATTATACCCACTTGGCTGTGCTGCTTCCAGGGTTAAAATACCAAGGCTGGGTGTTATCCAATCAGATTTAAGCTAGCTTGTGTTTTCAGGCAGATTAAGTCTGCCCTAGGCCTTCAGAATCAATCGAGAAGCCCACTGTCCGCTGTAAGTGAACGGAGACCATCTAGTTGCGATAGCCAATCAGCTCACGAGTCAGCGTGGATCAGGCCAGCTAGCTGGCCTCACGCAAAAGTTGACATGAACGCATCCTGTGATTGGATAAGCAGTAGTTAGAACTTTTCTAGCGGCATGAAGCAAAATATCAAAACTAAACACAGAGATTTGTATCTATAGGCAGATATCGGTGTATTTTTGAACACATGATGGCTGAAAGAGGAGAAGGGACAGACTTGGTGGCAGATTTACTTGCCACATCATTTTCCAGACGGACCTTTCAAGAAAAAATGGATCTTGTGAGAACAGGTCGTCCGACTCCAATGCTAGCTGGCTTGTCCCAGCAGGGGAAAGAATTTGTTCGTCATTTTCAGGCAAGCAACTATGAACGGTACCCATGGCAATAGCTTCAGAGAACTGCTGCAGGTTATTCTGCTGGGAACGCCTGTTGCTCGCATCAGATCGATTTGGTAGCATTAAAGCGCGTTAAAACGAATGCCAGAAACACGACCGGACAGACACGGCTTTCAGCATTAGCCTCCATGTCCATAGAAAAGGATCTACTCATGGACCTGAAGCGCACAGATAAACTGTACAGAGCCACTGAGGTTTTCCTGAGGAAAGAAAGAAGGATGGATTTTATTTTCAAATGAGCAGGAGAGGAGGAGATCCATGCTGGACATTTATGTTGGTGAGTAGAAACATTTTATTAGTATTTTTTAATATTTTGTCATTTCATTTTGTTAATAATAAATGGTAACGAAATAAAATGGCTAAATGAAATAATTCTATGTGTTCTGTTTCTATGCAATTTATATTGTGTATAACGTGGTGTGTGCAGCTGCGCCAACATGTTCAATTGTTTCGCAGTGCAATTTTCTCCAAAACAAATGCAAATAATGTGTTTGCTTTACTTATTTATTTTATTGTCTCATCTCTTAAACCCATCTTTCATTTTTGAGATTTGACAGTATCCGTGGTCTTAGTTTCCTACTCTCAATTGGGAATGCGAGTTTGATTTTAAAGGCTCCGGAAATGACGTCTTGCCCAGTCACTGGTGTGTGTGTGTGTGTGTGTGTGTGTGTGTGTGTGTGTGTGTGTGTGTGTGTGTGTGTGTGTGTGAGAGAGGTTTCTCCAGCTGTGATGTCCTATTGATGGTATTTTACGGTGTGTTAATTTAGACTGGACTGAATAGGAAATCACTGAAGGCCCAGGGGTGGAATGCACCGCCCGCCACTGAATGGAGGTATACATTAAATCACACCCCTCAATGCTCTAAATGAATAAAAATTACAAAGAGAATACTTTTTCATGTATTTTCTTTTCTCTTCGCAGCTTGTGACATTTCTGTTCATTTTCTGAAACCTAAAATGCAATAAAAATGTTTTAAAGTAAAACATTCTGCTCTCTCAAACCTCAAACTCCCAGCATTAATTAATTACTTAAGGCAGATGTTTGTATCTTTGAAAATGTAATCTTTAATTCCCGCAAAGGCCACATAAAGACAGAAAGATTTTTCCAGTTGTTTCTTCATTGCATTTCATGCAATCAAAGTCACACTTGGCAGTTTTGGCTTGCTTTTGCTAAACCGACCTCCTAGTGTCTGTTTAGTAGACCCCAAAACAAACCTATCTTCTCGCTGTGCGTTTGTCTTTTTAACGCCTTAATCTAACAGCTGAAACGTCTCCCCAGCCTTCATTAGTGTCTACAGCAGCAGTTCAACACTTAATCAAACAAATCAGCACGTTTCCTGATCTAAAACATGCAGGAAACGTGCAGGAAGCAGACTGCAGCGCCAGGCATGTCAGTTCAATTTTGTTTGAACCCAACCGATGGCATCCCACCAGTCGCTAGTGATGTTGCAAGTGTGATATTCTGGCCACAGGGGGCAGTAGAGGTTTGAGGTTTCATTAACCCTGTAAAGGGGTTAATGATGAAAGTTATTAAAAACTTTGAAAAAGTTGCAAAGTATAGTCAAATTTACTTAAACACAAGTACACAAACCTCCGGTCTACCTTATGTAGAAGAAGCTTTTACTACGATCACAAATCAGATGTTAAAATGTAAGGGAGAGAAATATAAAGGGAGAACGCCACAGAAGTAGAAACATTTAGAATAATAATGAGGAGAAAGTTCTCTAGAATGGACCAACAATGTCTGACATCTCCACACACACACACACACACACACACACACACACACACACACACACACACACACACACACACACACACACACACACACACACACACACACAACTCACCACTTTGGGTTTAAACGGCGGCTGGATCTCCCGATTGGCCAGGCGATCCCAGTCAATGCGTCTGAAGAAGGCCTGCTCTCTGATGTCCCGCTCACCCTCTGGACCACAGCCAAGACGCTTGGACGGATGCTTCGTCATCAGCTGAGGAACGGCAGGGAACCGTTACATAAACAAATTCCTTTTAATCTGTTCTTTTGTCCTGCAGTGACACGTGACTTTATTATAAACCTTAGGCAATAGCAGACAGTAAATCAGCTTAGTGGCATTCTAATGGTTTCAACTGTTCTCTGTAAGCAAACACCAACAGAAGTGTTCAGAGACATTAAGTGATTTTGTCATGACTCCCATCTTTCTGCCTTCATTCAGCACACCTGGTCCCCTCATCAAGCTACAGCCAAGACCTGTTTTCCCTAGCAAACTCAGTCAGCACCTCATCATCTCCGTTCATCTCACCTGTTCCTGTCATCAGCTTCATCCACTTCACCTGCTCCCATAGGCGGAGATCCCAGGGGGGACGCGTCCCCCTCTCACACAAAGTTGTCCCCCCCACAAAAGTTATTGTAAACACATAAATGCTATCAGTAAACCTGTATTGTCTTCTAAAACCACAACGTAAAAGTTAGTCTGCAAATACAAAACAATGTGTTTTTAATTGTTGAGAAATTATAGTCCATCCCCCCCCCCCCCCCCCCCCCCCCACCCCAATTCCTCAAGTTGGTACGGTCGGTCCACACGCGCTGTTTCCAACGGGTGGGGCTGCCGGCTCTGCCTCGCTCACTGCTTCACAGCAGCCCGCGGCAGGCTCACAGGAGGCGGGAATCAAAAAGCCAGCGGTTTCCAGCAGTAAGTCAATAATCACACGCTTGTTCTTCAAACTTAAATATGTATGTCAAATGTGGTCATAAATGTCAAACATAGACACCGATTATCTTTAGATTTTGATCACCGGTCGGAGATCCCTTTCTGACAGACCACCACCACCACAGTAAAAAAAAAAAAGTTGTCACTTCATGTTCTCTGGTCATTCCAGGATTATTCTGCTATTATTATTCCATTCACTAAGGTGACCAAAAGTTCCTTTTCTCAGACACGTACGCTTTGACGGTCTGCCCCTGGAATCTGCGGAGCATTTATAGATCGATGAAAATGTCCGCGTTTCATCCTATTTAGCAGATGAATATGGTAGAATCAAAACTAACTGGTCCGATGTATGGAAACCCACAGCGTTTAACCGCTCTTATCACGTCTTCCCCAGGCTCTGCAGTTGTTTACAATATGTCAAATTGCAGGTGCACCGTGCAGCTTAGGGATGAACTGGTTGCAGCAAATGTGTGGTGGAGGCACGTTGCTCAAAGCTCTCAGTGTAAAACATAGAGCCAAAGATCCCATTGGCCACACAGACCCAAAAACACTATGAAAACTGAGAAAAGTGAGAGATCGATTAAACTGAAAGATAAACTATAGAGTATGCATATGTTTAGTGTATTTGTAAAGTAAAGCTTGGGGAGAAATTGTGACACGTCTCTAATGGGCCATTCCCATCTGTACCGGGTCGGCCCGGACCGGGTAGCGTAGGTTGTTTACATATCTGGGTGGCCTGGTATTTTCCCGGGCCAACCAAGGCTCATTCTCAGCCCTCTTCTCGAGGGGGTCTGCTTCAGGCCGACCAGGGCCAACACACCCACTGCTGACAGCAAATTCACACCTTCCATTAGAGCAAGCCTCTGATTGGTGGGTAGAATCAGCCCACATGGGCTTAAGACAAGGATGTGTGGAATCAACCGGGCCAGGCTGGGGCCGACCGGAGCTACCCGGCCTGGGCCGACCCGGTACAGATGGGCATGGCCCATTTATAACAACCCATAGAGCCACTGATTTGATCTCATTTCAGAGAAAAACAGAACAGCTCAGATGCACCTAATGAATAAAATTACTAACAAACTCAGGAATCTTTCTTTGCTTCACTGTTCTGGTGCTGAGAATATCACTAATGCGAATCAAAGGGGATACACAGATGAATGCACCTCTTATTTATTATTTGGAGACTACATTTACTGCAGCTGGCAGAGGCAGAGATTTTTTCTATTGATACACGGCATTTACAGAATCATTTTAAATTTTAATAGGGGAAGACTGCAGGAGGGAGCGGTAAAATACAGGCGGTCCCCAGCAAAAACAAGAAACTTTACGAGTCTGATGAAACCCGCTGGTTTTCCATCAGGCAGTCACGGGGCAGCTCCAACGACCCAGTGGCTGTGATGGGTCAATGTTATCGAGCTCAGTCCGGCTCGGCAGAGGGTGAACGAGCCGAGGCGACATCGTGCTCTGCTTAAGAAGAAGTGTTATTTTCCCACTTCAGAAGAAGCGTCCAACGTGTTGTTACGTTTTCTCTGAGACATGTCACGTCGCTAAGTTGTTAGCGCCGCACGCTAACACGTCAATAGTGCAGCGTAGCCTGCTGGAGGTTTTAAGGGTTCAGATGAAAACACCCTACCTCTCACGCTGCTCACACATCGATCTTAAGTTGTCGCTGTTGCGCTCACGTCGTAATACAGTATTAGATGCGGTTAAAGTCAGACATGAAAAAATAAATAAATTTTACATGAATAAGTGATGCTTAGCCTGGTGGGGGGAGGAAACCCTGTCAAGATCGTCAACACTCGTTTATCTTAATGCTATTGAAACATGTAAACCAAAAAGCATTATATCCACTGCTACCTTTCTAATTTTAAACTCAGTAACTTATGCTGTAACTTCACCTTGCCCTGCCTGCTTCTCCTTGCTGCCTGCCGGCTGCGATCACAAGCGACAACATAGTAGTTCCCGCTGCTTCTTCGGGAAACGGCGCAAAAAAAAAAACTTGGGATCTTGTAGGCGTGGCGGTGGGATTTCAGCTGTGGTGGCCCGCCACGGCTACGCCTATGTAAGGGAAACACTGAGTGTTGTATGTAGAGAGCATTTTTTTCATGTCCCCCCCAAAATTTACTCTCTGAAGTTTTACTGTTTATTGTCCCCCCCCAAAATTAAAATGGGATTTCCGCCCTTGCCTGCTCCTGTCTCCTCAGCTCATCACACACATCCCCTGCTATATATTCACCAGCCAGTCACCAGTTAACTGCCAGATTATTGAAAGCCTTTGCAAGTAAATCTTCCAGCCATCCACCCTGCCTAATCTCAGCCTCCGGACCTCGTTTTTCTCCTGACCCCTGCCTTGTACGCTGCCTGCCATTACGGCCTTCGCCTGTCTCCAGCTCTGTCTCCAGCCTCTCCCACCTCAGGTAACTTCACTAAGAATAAAATACTTTTTTTTATCCATTTTTACTGTGTTTGGCATCTTCTGAGTTCTGTTGGTGACAGATTTGTCATCTAACATAAAATAAATGAAGTATGGAGAGTTGTCAAAAGGCTGGATCTTAATTGAATCCTCTCTGCTTTGAAATGGGCTCTGAAAGCTCATTTCCTTGTTGGTAAATAATCACCATCCTGAAATCAGTCATGCTGCTGCAGAGCAATGATGGTGATGAGCAGAAAAGTGGCGCCCTGATGTCAAATGATCATGTGATCTCTAAATAAAGAGTCAGTTATAAATGCCATGGAAATCTGTGACTCAAAATAGCAACACTGGTTTCCTGTTTAGGAGCCAACTCCTGTACTGCTGCTGACACAGGGAACAAAACACCCTGTTATTCTGGCTTATTATAATGCTTATTATGATGGTTATCTAGGAAGGTCTCATGAAGAAGAAGCAAATGAAGAACAAAGAAACAAAGATTGTAAGTTTATAAACCTTTTCATTCTTTTAATCCATCCAGCTGCTTCCCATTCCTGTAATCAGCACAGTTATCCTCCTGGTGTTTCCCCTCATTTCCCTTAAGCTTTGGTTTTGTATTCTTGCTGCCAAGTCATACTTTAAAAATTCAAATTCTATGTATTTTTCTAGACTCTTATTCAGTTCCTCACCTGCTTTTATGATACGAACGTTTCACAGACAGTGTTAACAGCTACCTCCTTTTAAAGCACGAGACCTCAAATAATAATCAGGAAAAAACAGTAATGGGGTTGAACTATTTATTAGACTCAGTTGTAATGATTATATAAGTTACAATCTTTTTTTATCAAGTAAATGCATGGCAAGTAAATAAATGTGGCACTCGCCACCTGCAATACTTAGATCCTCCACCGGGGGATTTTTGAGGAAAGTACTTGTGTAAAAAAAGACAAGACAAGGCAGCTTTATTTGTATAGCACATTTCATACACAGAGACAATGTGCTTTCCATTAGCATGTAGAGATTGAAGAACAGTGGAGTCCCCCAAGGCTCAGTTCTTGGACCACTGCTTGACATGTGCATGACATGTGCACATGTCATGCACATGTCATGGTGATCTGCTTTGATTTGTTATCACCAATAGAAACAACGTAAACCCTGTCTTAGCCATCACAACCATCACAACCCGCACTGACTCGTGACAAACGGTACTTCCGGTTAATGCCATGCACGTAACTTTAGGTCACGTGACATTCGGGGTCAAACAATCATTTCTAATAGAGCAATGGCAACTGGAGATAAGATTGGAACAAACTATGGACTGTGTCTGATAGTCCCAGTTTGATTATAAGACTATCAAGAAGGGTGTTGTGGTCCACAGCATCAAAGCTGCATCATCAGAACAGATGTTTTGCCTGAATGCGTATTTAGTCGAATATCATTTAATACTTCAATTAGTGCAGTCTCAATGATGTGGTGTTGTCTAAAGCCTGACTGAAAACCACCTAGCAGGTCGTTAGTCTCCTAAAAGTTGTTCAGCTGGATCATAAAGAAGCACAGGTGTTAGAAACTTAAAAACAGCCAAATGAAATATGAAACCTTTGGTGTTACAGGATTATTGATGGTTGCCAGAATCTGACTTTGGGTGACAAGTTGGAGAAAAAACTTTGCCTGGAAATCTAGAACCTTTGTGTATGTTTCATGCATCGGTTTCATGGCATTTTAGGAACAAGAAGCAATAAAACAAGTAGGGATGAGTGTGGGCGGCTGAAACCTGGTCTGTGTTTAATAAAAGAAAACAGCGATGGGACTGGAGCATTTGGGTTGTTTTGTTTTGAGCTAAATGTCGTCATCATGTGTCTCTCCAGCAGCAGCCAGAGTTTTTGGTGAAATTTCCAGTCAGCGTACAAAAGTCTGCCATCAAACAGGAAACTCTTTCATGGAAACTGAAACAATCCTCAGTTTTCATCACTTTTAAACAATGAACAACAGCCAAATGTGACATGGCTGTTTGAAAGCTCATGAAATCTTTTCTGTTTGAGTCAAAACATTTTTCTGCTCCGCAACAACGTAAAACCCACCAGATTCTCAAATCTCATGAGAAAAATGTGTAATTTTTCATTTGCAGTTTAGAAACATGACAATCTTACAAGATTCCAATAAAATAATGATTTTTAGTTAAAGGACCTGGTCTCACTCACCCCCTTGCAGATGGACACAGCTTCTTTGGACATGGACTTTGGGTAGGACACATTGTGCTCCATGATGGACTGGAAGAGCTCATCTTCATCTTCTCCATCAAATGGAGGCTGAAACACACAATGCTGATGATGAGGAGGATTCGAAACTCATTTGACGAAACCCTCAGCTGTGATTCCAGGTGTCAAGAGTTTTCTAACTTAAGAGAAACTGAATTTAAAAAACAAACCATGGGGTGGTTTGACATGAGTAGTATTTTGGGCACAAACAAAATATAAATATCTACAATTTACAACCTGTTAGGTTGTTAATACGCCTAAAATAAACCACAGAAAAATAATATCCTGAATTAAAAAGAGTAAAACTTAATTTAAATTATTTATTCAAAAGGAATCACTTAAATTTGAATGTTAATGGGGCCAATTTAGATTTTCTACAAGTTTAATGAAAGTTTGAAGTTTTTCTTTTGTCAATATAAAGAATAGTCTAAGGGTAGAATGTTTAAAATCATAATATATTACAAATGTGAGGTGATTTACTTTATTATTTTAGCTTTATTATCACTCTGCTGCAACACGAGTTTATCCTGAAGTCCATCACAATCTCTTGTCCTCCACATTGAGGGACAGATTGTTCATGCTGCACCATTCAGCCAACTGTGCCACCTCTTCACTGTGGTCCGTTTCCTCGTTGTTGCTGAGACCTACCACAGTGTCATCAGCGAACTTGATGATGTGGTTAGCTAGACTTAGCAGTGCAGTCATGGGTCAGCAGTGTAAAAAGCAGCAGGCCTTCTGGAGCACAATATGTCAATGTACAAATAATCAAGACAAAGTAAAGTCTTTAGTAGAGTGAAGCAGCAAACTACCTGCCCTGCCAGCATCTCATACAGCAGAACTCCATAGGCCCACCAGTCCACTGATTTGCCGTAAGGCTGGTAGGCAATAATCTGAGAGGAAAACAAGAGAAAAGTTTAAAGTTAACAATCTGAATAGGGACAATATTCCAGTTTATCAAAAAATATTTTTTTATTTTAACTGATAAAAAATCATCTGAGTATTTTTCTTTTTATTTGACTGCAGGTGGGAAAAGATAAAATCCTGGAAAATAATTAAAACTGCAGCTTTTTCCTCTCAGCTCCACCAAATCGACCTCCATTAAATATAGTCAGCTATTTAGAGCTGACATAACAAAGCGTTTTCTCCCACCGCCCAATTTACCCTCCCTCCCTCCCTCCCACACACACACACACACACACACACACACACACACACACACGTCACACACACACACACACACACACACACACACACACACACACACACACACACACACACACACACACACACACACACACACAGAAAGCAAAATCACAGCTGTATTATGCTACTAACCCACAAACATGGTGACTTAAACGGCTCCTAAATTATTACTTGTTCCACAGCTTCGAAAAATATATTCACAGACACATGAAGAGCAAAGATTAATATCATTAAATGGATTCATCAAATCAAACACACTGAAATTAAGATTCACACTCTGTCAAAGAATTTAGGATAAAATCGTAGGTAGTTCAAAATTCATTAAAGTAGGAAAACGGAAAAAAAGATATGAACTACTGTCAGCATTATGGGCTCGACACACGGGAGGCGACATCGCCTCTCCTCCATTCATTTTCAATGAGACATGCGCGACAAAGCGATAATCGCGGGTCTCTCTCCTACCAAGCGAAACGCGAAAAACGTGCGTGTGAAAGTTTGCACTCGTGCACGTGTCGTGCACGGACGACCCAGCAACGCGATCCCAGAAAGTTGAAACATTTTCAACTTTTCATCGCTGTCGCTCGGGCGAGGACCAATCAATGGAGGTTTCATTCACTGACCAATGAGCGGACAGGATGCTCCGCACATCTCCGAGCAAACATGGAGGAGAAGTTGATTATTATTATGTTTTATATTGTAAAATCAGAAGTAAGATTTCACATAACTCTAGCAGCACCTTGTGAAACATCATATCTACCACTTTATTAACTCTGAACCGCTTAAATAACCTTAATTCCCTCCAACCTGACACAGACAAACAAAACAACGGAAGTTTCGATTTTGCCATGGAACAGAACGCGTAGGCGGCTTTGCCGCTGGCCGCTACCGCAGATCGCCTCCCGTGTGACAGGTAATAAAAGCGACAGCGACAAATTTCGCTGATCGCGGTCGTTTGTCGCCTCCCGTGTGTCGAGCCCATAAGGCAAGGCAGCTTCCTTAGTAAAGCACATTTCACACAAAGAAACCATTTAATGTGCTTTCCAGAAGCAAAGTGACAACATTAAACAGCAGATTTTTAAATCAAATTTTAATTTTTAATGCACAAATAAATTTAGATGTAAGAAAAAATATAAAAAGGCTAAGTTAAAGACAGCAGTTACAGTGCAGAAAGTGCAGCATAAGAAACAATCATTGAGGGCATGGTGTCTAGGGGTGAGGTGGTGCTCACGCCTCACCCCTGCTACGTGGACCTCAAGGGATCAACTATCAACCCTGCTTAAAGTTCGTCTTTCCTGGACGGGTCATCTGATAGGACAGTGGGAGGACTAACAGAAGAAGTTAAGTCCAACAGATCGAACCGTCAGTCTGTAGTTGCAAATGGAATATTCTGGCCACAGGGGCGATGGGGGCTGGGTGGCCTTTCTTGAACCCTGCAAGGGTTACATACTGGCTCAAGAAAATTATTTTAAAATATGAAAAAGTTGCAACCCGTCTCTTTAAGAACAGGAGTGATGTGCTCGGTTGTCTTGGTTCTTGTTAAGACTCTAGCAGCAACATTCTGAATGAGCTGCCATTGCTTCTCTGCTTTTGTGGGAAGACCAGACAAAAGACCATTGCAATAGCCCAACCTGCTAGAGATGAATGCATGAATGAGTTTCTCTAGGTCCTGTCTGGACACGAGACCTCTGAGTCAAGAAGAAGAAGAAGAAGAAAATATAATTTCTACAGCGCCTCTCAAGATAGAAATCACGAGGTGCTTCACAAAAACAAAAAATGTAAAAATATAAAAAAGAATTTAGAAAATGGTTAAAAATATATTTAAAATGAGCAAAAAATAGACAATTGTGAATAAAAAATGTTAAGAAAGAGAGAGAGTGAATAGGAAAGAGGGAAATCAGTGGATCTTGAGGAAGGTGGAATAGGTGGGGAAAGCTGAATAAAGAGAGGGGGATGAAGAAGGTCATACAAAAGTCACTTTGAACAAGTGAGTCTTCAGCTGCTTTTTAAAGGAGTCCACTGAGTCCACTGATCTCAGGCTCAGGGGGAGAGAGTTCCAGAGTCTGGGGGCCACAGCAGCAGATGATCTGTCACCTTTGGTCTTTAGCCTGGTGCGCTGCTGGACAACCAGTAGGTTTGATGAAGATGAAACACTGATCTAATGTGACCAGTGAAGCTCAGGTCTGAATCAGTTATGACACCAAGATTTCTAACCCGGGTCTTTATTTTTATTCCTCTGGAGCCAAGTCGAGCAAAATTTACGTAAAACAAAATGACCTAAGGAAACCCTGGAGAAGTTAAACTTGTCATTTGGTGTTAATTAGTTTTACATGATTTTTGCACTCAAATTGGTGCCAAACAGGGATTGAACACTCATGTGATAAACAAGATAAGTTTTGTTATAAAATACACCCAGCAGGCCTAGTTGAAAGTATTCAGTGGCATCATGATGAAGATACAGAGAAAAAAACCCTTTTCAGCCTTAGCATCTTTAGTGGGGGTCTCTGCGACAAGTTTAAAGTGGTTCAGATTTCCAGAGTATTAGTATCCTTATAAACCAATGGCAGAATGTCATGTCAGAAGCTATTGATCTATGGGTATGTGGAGCCCCCCAAGGCTCTGTTTGGGGTCCACACTTGTTTTAACAACATATTTATTTAGCCGCTTGGACAGATCATTAGTACATTTCATATAATCTTTTCTCACTTCTATGCAGATGACATCGAGCTGTTCTTCTTCTTCAGGAACTCACAGTTTCTCAAACTTTTTTAACGATTTAAGTGCCACTCAGCTCAGTCCCGGGGTGGAATCTACAGTTGTCTTGCAAACTGTCTTTGCACGCAATTGGATAGTGCTAGTACCAATCAGAGCAACAAACATTGTGGCATTTTCATAGCCGCGGAAATCGGTCAACAGTCTGCCTTGCACCCAATGGCACCCCCAAGGGGTGGCCAGGGGTGGCCATGGCCACCCATAGAAAATTGCTGCCCCCCCCCCCCCAGGAAAAAGCACATAATTGTAAAACAAATGAAAAAAAAAAACAACCCACAATTAATGAGGAAAGAAATAATCAGAATAAAAAAATACACATGTTTCTGCTGCTCATCCAAAAAAAGTTTTTATCTTCATAGTTTTTTGTGAACACAGCAACTGGTGAATCAAACAAACAACAACAAAAAAAACAAATAAATAAAACTTTTAAATAAAATTTTAAATAACAGTTTAAATAACTGAATATTTTTTTCTGAAATGTTTGTGTTTGTAAAATGTATTTCTTTTAAAAATAAAAATGAATAAAGGACCAATGTCACCACAGGCTAAGCTCTCCCAGATTTATCACAAGGACCAATGTGGTGTGCCACCCCAAAAATTTCTTTGGCCCTGTCTGGCCACCCCAATCAAAATTTTCTGGAGGCGGCCCTGCTTACACCATCAAAAAGAAGAAGAAGAAGACCCAACTACATCCTTTTTTTGGAATAAAAGACCTAATACCCTCTATCTGCTCGTGTCTCAAAGAAAAGTCCAAGGCTAAATCACCCAAAGTTGTTGACAAACCAATTTAAATGAACGCCATTCCTAGAACGTTGTAATTATATCCATCATAGCTCTGGTGCTAAGCTGCCCAACACCTCTCTACAAACATAGAGCGCTGTGATTGGCCCAATCTAAAACAGTAAGGGCCAATGGCAGACCTACTGAGGCAACAATGGAGCGTGGTTAGACTGAACTGCAGAGCAAAATCTTTTGCTACTGCTGCCGGTTTGTCTAGATTTCTTGGCTACTAGCTCGATTCTTCTGATCTCTTCTTGAAATGATGCATTAAAGTCAAATTCTTTGTTGTAGGAGTTCAATGAATCTGACAGAACAGCCAGTCCTGGACTTCAGCTTCCTCCAGTTTTGGACAACCTTAGAAAAATCAGTGCAACGTGGAGATGATGTTGATTCTTTAGGTCATTTTCTGACACCACAGACATCTCACCTCGGGAGCGATGTAGTCCGGGGTGCCGCAGAAGGTGCGTGTGGACATCCCTTCATACATGTTCTCCTTGCACATGCCAAAGTCAGCTATCTTAATGTGGCCTTCACAGTCCAGCATCACGTTGTCCAGCTTCAGATCCCTGCAGATCATACAGCTTAGCATTAAAACTAAAGGGCCACTAAAGAATCTCTCAGTGCTTTTTTGGTCTGCAGCACACATCAAGCAAATCGTTTTTCTATCCGTCCCATTCCTCTGAGCTCTTGGTGGTAAACCCACATTGTGCTTTAGTTTTCAGGCTTTGAAGGCATGAAGAAAAACACATGGACCTTGGTCCCACATATTATTTTTTCCTGTGTTTTGTTATAAAAATAGATTTAATGGCCTCAAGTGTCCTAAAATGTAGACTATTTATCTCTCCAACAGGCCTGAAAGGGTGAATCCCCCCACTGACTTTTATTTTTTCCTTCATTTTCATGGATTCAAGAAGTCTTTAATGTCCCCGTGGGGCAATCTGTTGTGCAGCCAGCAGTAAAAATAATAAATTCAACATTCAGTCACAATGAAAATGACTTTTTCTTTAACTTCTCTCCCTGTTAGCCCTGATCTGCTCATAAACTTTGGAATTCAGGAAAAATGAAGTAGTGGTTTGAAAATAAAATACTATGCATACTATTACTACTACTAATACCTGTAAATGATTCCTTTTCGGTGCAGAAAGAACAAACCAACAGCAATCTCTGAAGCATAAAACCTGCAAAAACAGAAAAAATTAGTTATACATAAATATAATTTCTGCATATGCTCACAAAAATACAAAAGGACATTTTATTCTCAGAGATAGAAAAAAATATGTTATGAAACATAAAAAATAAGGAGGGCTGTGCAGTGGCGCTGTGGTTAGAGCTGTTGCCTTGCAGCAAGAAGGTCCTGGGCTCGATTCCCGGCCTGGGATCTTTCTGCATGGAGTTTGCATGTTCTCCCTGTGCATGCGTGGGTTCTCTCCGGGTTCTCCGGCTTCCTCCCACAGTCCAAAAGCATGACTGTTAGGTTGATTGGTCTGTCTAAATTGTCCTTAGGTGTGTGTGTGTGCATGATTGTTTGTCCTGTGTGTCTCTGTGTTGCCCTGCGATGGACTGGGTCTCTGTCCAGGGTGCACCCCGCCTGGCCCGTTGACTGCTGGAGATAGGCACCAGCCCCCATCCCCCCCACGTGGACAAAGCGGGTTCAGAAGATGGATGGAAAAAATAAGGAGAAAAGCTAATGAACACGATCCTTAGTTGGCATCATTTCAAAGTTCAAACCTACTGATCAGCAGGGGGCGCCACTGAGTATTTGAAGCCTCAGAAATGAACCAACTTTTTTCCCCCCATATATTTTTTAACCTGTTTAACCCTAACACCCCCCAATTGGGAGTCTCTACAGTTTCATGTACCAAACATCTACAACTGTCCACATTCTCCAAACACAACTAGAACCACAATCAAACAGCCCAGATGGGAAACAAGGCCATTTTAAATTGTAATAAATGAAGACACAATGATATTTGAACTTTATTTTAGAAGAGCATCTGACCTTCTCTAGTGTCTGCTGGGAAAAAAAAACCTAGAACAAATTTAGTTCAGGACCCCTGGAATAAATAAAACAGCTGACTAAATTTCCTAAATGGAATTCGAACTCACAACCTCCATCCTGTCAGCACTTTCACACAGGGCAGCTCTTCTAAAATAAAGTTCAAGTATTATTGTATCTTAATGTATCAAAAACCAAAAACTGCTTTGTTTACAATCTAAACTGTTTTGATTAAACTGTTTTGATTGTAGCTATAGCTGTGCTCAGGGAATGCAAACCATCACTGACACTCGGGACATGAAACTCCAAAGGCCCCCAATTGAGAGGCGCCAGGGCCCAAAGAAAAAAGGCCTAGGGCCTAAAGGGTTAAAAGTGGAAAAAAAGGCAGCTTGTGGCTTGATTTTATATGTCTTTCCGAAGATCTGAAGCCACACAAATATCTGACTGCTGTTCCAGTAAAGCTCGGGTTTGTCAGAAAATCAAGTGGTTGTGAAATTGTTTCAAACAAACAAGAAAACAAACAAACAAGAAAACAAAAACTGAATACCAGGTTCAATTTTAAATTGATTAAAAAGGTTTTACCACTTGTTAAAAAACACCAAAGGTTGATGGTTAAATTGAATTATTATCTGCAAAACTGAAAAACAGCAAATGCTGTTTTTAGGATTTTAAAGCCGGCAGAAAACTGAATAAAAACACAAAGAATGGTTGTAAAAATGCTAAACCCTTAGAAAGATTGGACTGATTGATCACTGGGATCTTTTTAGGCATTTTGAAAATGTGTCCTTACACGGCCTGAGGCTCTTTAAACTTGCCCATACGTTGGATGTGGTACATGAGGTCGCCCCCGTTAATGTATTCCATCACAAAGTAGAGCCGATCCTGCAAATAAAACAAGAGTTCAGACAGGAAACAATATTATAATGGATGAATTTTAACATGAAGTCTGTAAAACTGGTACACGATAACAGACTCAGGGGTTCCCACGAAGCTTTGAGCAGTAAAGTTTAATATTTCAGAGGTTTTGACGCACAGAGCAAACATCATTATCACAAACTTTACATTCAACACCGGTCTCGGCTCATTTTCAGTTCTCCCTGCAGGGCGGTCGGTGAGCGAGTGCAAAGAAAATGAAAGGTGTAACAACAGAAACGCTCACAAGTGGAGACTGCTATGGCAGAACAATAAAGAGACTTATGTTTTGTTATTGTCACTGAGTCTGAGCAGGAGGAGACGAGAGTTTTTACACACCACAGTCTGAAAGCAGGAATGGAGATGCGTGAGAAAAGGTGGTTTGTCTCTCAGAGCCAACACCCTCTTCTCCACCATCGTGCATTCCACGTCGTCGTCCTGGATCACCACGTCTTTCTTCAGGATCTTTATGGCGTAGAGCTCCTCCGTCGACTTCATCTCTGCCAGCATCACCTGACACCACACAATGTCAACGGTCACATCGGCGCCAATGATTTACCTAATAATCCCGGGGGTGCCGGTTTTTGATCCCACCTTGCCGAAGCTGCCTTTGCCCAGCAGGGCCAGGAAGTTGAAGTCGTTGAGCCGGACTCGGTCCATGTTACTTGAGGGGAAGCTGAAGCGCCTGTGGTCCGATGGCGTGATCACTTTCTTACCGTGGCCCAGCTTGGCTTTCTGCCACGTAGGACAGAAACAAATGAAGCAAAATGCAGTTAAAATCTCCTCTGCTGTGATGATCTCAAATCAGATCCTAAAAACAAAAACGAAATGAAAACTTCTGCTGATTTAGAACTGTGGGGTGAGTGGGGGAGTGGTAAATCCTTAAATGAAGTAATTTTATCTAAAATATAATTACAGTTGGGGCTGTGCAGTGGTGCAGTGGTTAGAGCTGTTGCCTTGCAACAAGAAGGTCCTGGGTTCGATTCCCGGCCTGGGATCTTTCTGTATGGAGTTTGCATGTTCTCCCTGTGCATGCGTGGGATCTCTCCGGGTACTCCGACTTCCTCCCACAGTCCAAAAACATGACTGTTAGGTTGATTGGTCTGTCTAAATCGTCCTTAGGTGTGTGTGTGTGTGTGTGTGTGTGTGTGTGTGCATGATTGTTTGTCCTGTGTGTCTCTGTGTTGCCCTGCGATGGACTGGCTCTCCGTCCAGGGTGTACCCCGCCTGATTTCCCATTGACCGCTGGAGATAGGCATCAGCGCCCCCCCGAGACCCCACATGGACAAGCGGGTTCAGAAAATGGATGGATTGATAATTACAGTCATAAAAACATCACTATGACTTCATCATGCTTATAAAAAAAGACAATTAACATTTTTCTGAAACATTTTTACTTGAATTATCAAAATTTGTTATTTTTTCCCAGTGTTTAACATGCGAGTAATTCAGACCTCGATCAGATCCCAGTTTTAGTAAAAGTGTCAGCTGGTCGTTCAGCAGGCGTCTCCAATATTCAAAGTTCCCTGCTGTTACAACAATCGGCTCGCCAAATATCTCTTCAAATATACAATTAAGATCCCCAACAGCTCTTGTTCCATCTCCAGCATCTGTCCGTTTCAAGTCAAGCCCAGGAAACAGGTGGGACACTGAGAGCATGTTACTGGGGCAACCACCTCTCTCCTCCTGACTATTATAACGCTCACGTTTGTGTGATTCGGGTTAAACATGGTCTGCATGAACCGCAGCTTCAGGGCAGTTAACAGATAGCTGGTTCAGATCTACCAATCAGAACGCTGCAGCTGAGTGCATCATGTTCTGACCCAAAGACGTGACCAGTTTGTTTTTGCTTCGAGTTCAAAAGGTTTACATGAAACTGAAGACAACAAAAGACACTAAGAAAAAAGCAAAAGTCCAAATTAATACAGAAAACAGTTCATAGACTTCATTTATGATGATCCATGGTGGACAACCCACCTGCTGCACAACGTTTTGTTTGAATGCAGATGGTATTTATTATTTACTGCCGTGAAAGTAAAAAAATAAAGTTTTTTGCACTGAGGGGAAAATGCTCAAATATAATAATGCATCAAAGTAAATAAAAAGTTTAAAATCCATTCATATGTGATATTTAAAAAACCCTTTTTAGGACCATTTTTGTATGAAGGGTAAAATGTGTCAATTTTCTGAAAGGTGCAAACTGTTAACCTTTGATGCATGGATTATGAAATCTTCAACTATGATTTTTTAAACAATTTTTTTCATTCATCTTTAGGTGTGATTGAAACAAATTTCAACAAATATTTTTGTAACATTTAATAATTTACAAATAATGTATTACATGTCCACCTCAGTGCATTCTGAACATGAACCATGTTGGCTTGACTTACTGGAGTCCACATGGAGGGGCTCAAATGCAATAAAGTCTTCAACAGCTGTGCTTAATAGCAAAAAAATAAATAAATAAAAATAATAATAGTATTTGAGTACCAGTTAACTTTACTATTATGCGGTTAAACAAATGACTTGTTTTTATGTCCTAGTCAAAAATAATTTATATGCGTGAAAAACCTAAAACTAAAAGCTGCACAAAGTGATTCAGATGTACGAAACAGAAAAAATGAACCTCAGCAGCTGGGAATGGAAATGCAATAGTTGATATTTAGTAATAAATGCTATAAATATTATTTTTCAACAGCTTGTGATGTGATGCCGTATTATACCAGAGTGTCAGACCTTTGCACAGCCCCTTACAGCACACTGCTGCTTCACCCTCCTGTTATTGTCAGACTGCCACTTATCTATCCATCTCCAACTGAATGACTCATTCACACAACTGGATTTTTTATTTGATATAGTTCAAAACACAAACTATGAATGTCCGGACCAGTATGGTGAGAGGAAGCTCTGCTGATATCAGGGATAGTTTTCTTTTACCGGTAACTTTAAAACATTTGAAGAAAACTCTAAGATCTGTGGAGCTAAAAAGTCTCCCTGCTCTGTGATCCTCTACAGAAACCTATCTGCACATTTAACAGAAACATTTCTAGTATCTCTGTTGCTGCTTTTATCAAACTCATAGCTGAGGTTGTCTTGGTAACAAGAACGCTGCTCTTTTCCTGCCAGCTGATTCATGTTTTTGTTCCTGTTATGTTACAGCGACACTTAGCGGCCACTTTCAGAATGCACCCACTTTACCAGGACAGGTGAGTTGACTGAATAAAATATTCGAGAACAAAAATGCGAAAACTTGCATAAACTCAGTCAAAGACTACAGTTTCATCTTAAACAAACATTGTTATTTCACAAAGTTGCAGTCACACACCAGTCATAATAAAGACACACTGCCATCGTGTGGAGAAACTTGATGCACACACACACGGCAGACAAACAGTCTATCCACTCACACAGCTACTGTGAATGGGTGGGTGTTCATGCTTTGTGTCCTCCCAGCCTTTTATAGTCCAGATGAGACTAGTAGAAGGCAGACCGAGGTCACCAGTGAGGACGTGGAGCTCCTCTGACCTCCAACTGTGCATCGCATTAGAGTTGAGCACCAAGCGGAGGTCAGAGATCTCCACACATTTACTAACAACAATGCTGTCATGTGTTTGTGTAAAAAACATTTGGGTACAAAATGCAGAAATTAAACACTTAATGTAAGAAAGGCTCGTAAATCAAAAATTTCACTCATATTTTTAAGGTTTCTGATGCAATTTGCTGTTTGGTGGACATAAGCGCTGTGCTTGTCAGAGAAGTTAAAATATTACTAAAGAGTTTTAGAGAATCAAACAATATCGGTTTGTTGAAATAACTCACAAAATGTTCTTGTTTTCAGTCAAAACTGATCCAAATGAATCTGATCTGGGAGAAAGAAGCAGATGGATGCATTAGAAAAGTTTCGGTCTCACTTTTAAGGTTTGTCTATGCTTTAAGTCAGACTGTAAAGCTGTGAGCCAGTACTTTAAAGGTAAGTGCTGCAAATATTACAAGTTTACTGATGAGACGTCTACAGTGGCGGTTCTACATCGAATTACTCCCCGGGCGAGGCCCCTTTTGAGCGCCCCCCCCCCAACCGCCCCCCCCCCCCCCACCACCACCACCACCACCCCACCTGCATGAACACACGCATGTTTTCTACAAACAGGCATGTTTTATTAGAAGGACTATTGAACATTCATTTTTCTAAGTTGCACATATTTACATTAATTACTATGAAGTTGTGAGAATGTAAAGCACTATACATTATATAATGTATCAAAATATATAGAATCAAATATACAAAAACAAACAATAACTAAATATTAAGAATATATGAACATAATATATAATAAATATTCTAAATAGCAAAAATATTTCACACATAACAAACTAAAGATAATCACTACAGCATTGCACTTAGAATAGAAAACACAAACTAAAATTAAAACCTAACCTTGATGCAACGTCATCAATAATGTCATCATATGAAATCTGCTCCCCTACTGAGTGATTGATACTAATCAGAGCCAGGTGAGTGAGCCGCCCCTGAAACACAGGTGACCTCAGGTATGACTTGATCAAGTTTTGAAAAGCTCCTCTCAGCTGGAGCCACAGTGACTGGCAGAGCAGTCCAAAAGTTGGGGTAGATCTCCAATAGATCTCATGATCCATAATATTTTAGAATTGCCTCTGAAATTGTAATTTAAACTGACATAAAAAAACTGTAGACTACCAAAAATGCCAACTTTTACAGAACAAATCACGTAAAAATAATCAGTGCAGCCATCTGCAATAAATAAACAGGATAGTTAGTGGTGACTGGGGAGTTCTCTTCTGCTTGTAGAGTTGTTTTATTTATTATTATGTGAACATGATCAACATGTGTTTGTTGTTGTTCAGGCAGGCCACAGGCTGCAGTGAGCATTTAACAAATCCTAGTTTGAATCAGTAAAAAACGATTCAAGGACTTTTTTCGAACCATTTGAATATTCGTTTCAATATTTCAGCCCTATTAGCTCTGTTAGCAGTTAGCTGACCGAATGTAACCGTTAAAATCCCAGTTAACTGTTAAAATCCCAGTTATCTGGTTCAAAACATTGGAAACATGCATCATGAGAGCTACGTACCTTTATCTTTCTCCTCTTTTTTCTTTTTCTTTCCCCCTGAATGGGGTACCTGGTGGTTTTAGCCTTTTTATGTTCATCTCTTCTGTTTGGCTCCTGATTCAGTAAGTTTCCTTTAGTCAGGACTAAACTATTTGACCTTGAGGGGGGGGGGACCACAAAATCGTTTAGTTTTTCCTTTTTTTATTCGGCCATTTCACACAATTCAGAAAAACCTGAAAGAATGATAGGCCTGTGTTTATGATATTATGAATGAAATATGGAAGAACGTTAAGATGTGATTGACTTTAGCCATGTTAATACAGTTGATTCAGCCCCTGCACGCTCATTTCATTTGGGAAAGACGCAGAGGTGAATTCCCCCGCCGCACCCCTCCCCTTCCTGTTCTTCATAGACACACGGTGCACGTGAACGTTCTCAGTCAGCAGGAGCGCCTGCAGCTGCAGGGGGCGCCAACTTGCTGTTTCCAATCCAGACACTGTCATATGACAGATAATAGAAAACCTCGGTGCGGCGCAGATTTCCTTTTTTTTTTTTTTACTCCGCGCTTGTGCGCCCCTTTTGTGTCATGAAAAAATGCCGCCCCGGGCAACTGCCCTGTCTGCCCGTGCCTAAAACCGCTACTGGACGTCTACAGGAGAGGCTCAAATTAGCTACAGTATCAATATATCTTTTACCTTGTGAGCTCCAAACATGGTGAAAGTTTAGTGTGTGAGAGGAGCGAGAAGCTGACAAAACAGGCTAATTGGAAAACTGGCCTTTGTTAGTAAATCAGATTAGTTTGTGAGATCCCAGCAGAGATCCACAAACAATCCCAAATCAAAACGTGTGACGCAAGCTGAGAGAGCAACACGATGCAGGCAGGAGAGCTACCTTGAGATAGTGGATATTTAGCTTGCAGGCCTAGAAAGAAAAAAACAAAACTGACTTATTAGTGATGACCGGAGAGAGATGAGCGGACATGAGTGGGCAGGACACGTCCAGAGTTACAACTCTGACCACTTATAGGTCTTTATCTTTGCAAAAGATCAAAGGCACGACAGGTATACATAAAAAATTCACATCTGATGCATCCCACCCTAGTTTCCATGGCAACCACAGAGAGAAGACATCACCCTCGAAGGGAAGTCAAGGTCAATGTTGTACGGTACAGAAAACAAATCAAAGCTGAGAATTAAAACTGATGCTCAGTATGGAGGAGCAGACATTTACACTCAGTGTTGAGGCAGCTCTGTACACACACACACACACACACACACACACACACACACACGCACGCACACGCACACACACACACACACACACCCAACCCTCTTTGAAAGTTTAATGAAAAATTGATTTTCTTTTCAAACTCAGGTTTTCTAATTAGTCTTAAAAAGCTTCATACAGTTGTGAATTTATTTCTAGCAGCAGGATCAACAGAAGACCGTTATGAAAAGCTCTTGTCAACAAAGCGGCCACTAGAGGGCGAAGTGCAGTAAGAGATGTTTCACAGGTTACTCCTCAAACAGTGAACTTAAGGAAGAAAGCCTACTAGATTTCTAGAACATTTTACATAACAACAGACATCTTGTGCTTTTCTGCAACAAACATCTTAAATCATCTTTAATGAAATATACAATTTAACAAAAGGCATAAAAATGTGTCCAAATCTGAAAAAAATCACATAATTAATTAAAAACAAAACAAAGAACTCATTATTCACATATGAATCAGGTTAAAAATAACGTAAAACATTACCTAAAAAAGGGAATCGTTTAAAACACCACTAGGATATAACAAAAGCTATACTGGAGTCTGCTGAATAAAAAGAATAAATTAAGTTCGTATTTTTGCAAACGCAAAGTACCTTATTTAGATTAGTTTTGACCTTCAGTAAGATTTCATTGCTGTTTGACTTCAAAAATGTGTAAAAGGTTTTGCATCACTAAGAACCTCAACCAGCTGCAGCAGTGATAATGTAAAATAAATGATGTTGAGGGAAATCCTCTTTAATGTTAGCGTTGACGAACATTTTCTCCTAAAGCAAAGATAAATGGGACTAATTCAAAGCCTCATCTGCTGCTGCTGCTCTGTGGGATTTAGTTTGGTGTGTTGTGTAAAGCTTGGGTCAGAATTTTTAAATAGTCTGCCGAACACCCCACATGGAAATACCATTTTTGACCCATTAGTATGTGGTGTGCAGCAACTCGACAAACAGAATACACACAACGGGCTTTCACTCGTGGATATTCCCCGCTCCGATGGGAAGTCCTGAAAGACAAGACGTGACTTTGGAGTAAACAATCATGGTAGTGGAGGAGCATACTTCGCGGATCCATCACCTCACTTTCTGATTGGTTAGACGTCACATTCAACAGGCAGCATGTTTGTTTGTTCCTGAAAAGCAGATCATAACACTCCAACATGTCATTGTCAGTGAACCAACGTCCCGGTATACCAGGGCTGTTCAATTCCGGGCCCGGAGGGCCGGTAACCAACACGTTTTAGTTTTAACCCTGCTTCAACACACCTGATTTCAATCAGCAGGTGATTAACAGATTTCTGCAGAGCGTGATGAGCTGCTGCACAGGTGATTCAACCACTGAATCTAGTGTGTTGGAGCAGAGAATTCACTAAAACATGCTGGGTACCGGCCCTCCAGGCCCGGAATTGAATAGCCCTGCGGTATACCAAACAGAGTGAGGATGCAGCTGATCAGCACATTCCTATAGGAAAGTGCTGATCAGCTGTGCCCTCACATTACCAACCCCGCTCCCCAGGAGTGGAAAAAGTGAGCATGTTGAGAGCAAGGAATGCACGTCTATGAATTGTGGCGTGTACGTGTCAATGTCAGTGAGTCTGTGAAATTTCTCTCAGTTCAATCCCAGTGTCCGTCTAAGATGTAACACGACTTCCGGGAGAGCTAATCCAAGAATCGCAGGCCCAAGTGAGGATCAGTGGAGGGTGGAACAGAACATCTGTCTACATAAGCATCCAGGGAATTTTGAGATATTCAGCCATCCAAGGCCAACATGAGGAGCCAGATTGAGATAACAGCATTTGTTTTGGTAAAGGCGAGAGCTTGTGTCTGCTTTAAGATCTCTCTAAATGGCCAAATCAGGGTCAGTTTCCAACAAGCCGAGCTGAGAAGGTCTCCAGGTTGTTTTCCACTTTGCGGATGAGTTCAGAAACCACAGCCAAGTTGCTGCTAAGAGTGTCCGGCTTACGATTTTGCTCGTGCAGTGCATGAGTCTGAATGTTAACAGCATGATACATCCCTTCATAGAGGTCAGCCAGCTTGCTAATTGTTCCTGACAATGTTTGCATTTTGCGATACACCAGGAACCAACACACTTTAAACATCAGAAACTCAGTTATCACGAGTTCAAGTATACATCCTCCACGGACATCAGCGACAGACACATGGTCTTCCACTCAGAAATCCATCACGTATCCAGTAGAGCGTGTTCCGTCAGGGCAGAAGGGCTTTTCCATAGCCATTCTTTGAGTAGAGAAATTTTGATCAATTGCATTAAAAGACCAGCTAACCAGATCCATGGGTGAAAAAAATAAAATTCCAGAGGAAAATGCAGAAATGCTCCAGATAGCTGGACATGACAAGAGCAGGCTAAGTGTCTGTCCTTGCCAAGGGCAGGAAGAGATGTTCGGAGTGGCCCCGACGTTTATTTGGAGAGCACCAGAGCGCTTCTAATGCACCACACAAGGTAGGAATCTCTGATAAGATAAACTTTAGAGCCATTACTGTGATGATGTGCAACTTTAAGATAGTCAAAAGTGGCAGGGCTGAACAAAAACTGGCCATTTCTTATCCTGCCATGTGAATCAGGCCTTAGTTTCACATCTTCTTGTTAAAGGGAGACTAGGTGGTTTTGGCTTGCTTTAAGCACCCCCAAGTGTCCGTTTGTAGAACCAAAAGCAAAACGTATTTCCTCGCTGTGCGTTTGTCGTTTTAACACCTTAATCTAACAGCTGAAATGTTTCCCAGCCTTCATTGGTGTCTACAGGGGTGATCCATTACTAAATTAAACAAATCAGCTGTGTTCCTGATGATAAAATGTGCAGGAAACGGGCTGGCACCAGGCTGCAGCAATTTTTCCCCAACAGACCAGACCGGCACTCTGAAGTTGCAAAAGGGTAATTTTAGCACATACTGACTCAAGAAAATGATTTGAAAACATGAAAAGTTGCAAAGTGTCCCTTTAAACTTGTAAGCATCATTTCCTCTCCTCAAAGGAGACTCAGTAAACTCATGTTTTTTTCACCTGAGTGGATTATCCTTTAAAATCAAAACTATTCAGGTTATTTTGTCTTTCCTGAATTCAAGAAAACATGGTAAAGCAGGCAGACGGTGAGGTTACCGTGGTGACAGTAGCAAGGACACTTTTGTAAAATTCAGAGTGAGTTTGTGTGAAAGGTGTGTGTAAATGCTTTAGAAGAATGTGCCTGGCCCTGATTCTCACCTCAAACTTCTGTCTGAGCTCCAGGTTGACATCATCCACCTCTGGGATGGGAACGTTGTAGTACTCGCCCTCCTCCTGGTTCAAAAGCTTGTACCTGAGAGAGGAGAAAAATCATTGATTTCAATTATTCTTTTACTGATTCAACTGATCTTCCTTGTGTCCGTCCCTCAGTGCACCCACAAGACGTTTCTGCTCACTTCAGTTGAACAACATGATTCCTGTTTTCTGAACAGACCTGTGGTCTGTTGGCAGATCCCTTAGTGTACACACTGCTCATCACATGGTCCATGATTTACTATAATCACAAATGCAGCAACGCACACACACACACACACACACACACACACACACACACACACACACACACACACACACACGCACACACACACACACACACACACACACACACACACTGACGGAGTTTCCGAGTTTGCTGCCAACATTTTCACACATTGGTATTTCCTTGAGATGCTGATTTGGTAAAATACAAGATGAAGCAGCTTCAGCGGACAGGAAACGAATCTTCCCTTTAAACAAATGATGAGTAAATATTTAACAAATTCAGATTATTTTATTATTGTCATTCAACACCATGGCAGACATTGAAAAACAACATGTGAGCTAATGATGTCCAGGCTTTAAGGCTGCTCTGTTTTCTGCCTGGAGGAAGAAGGGTGAGTAGTTTACAGGCTGGATGGGTAGGGTCCAAAAACAGACACAATTTCATCTGTTTCTTTCAAAATGAAGCAATTTTATTGTTGTAAATGGTTATATTTCAATGTATTTGAGATAAATAGTTAAGGGTGATTTAAAAATTGATTTGTGGTATTTGGGTGCACCAAAACCTGTTTTTTGACAACAGAAATAAATGAGGGGTGAGATAATTTTACTATGCTGAAGTCTACAGCATGTAAATTTTTTATTCTGTTGTGACTATAACATCTGTTAGCAAGACTGCAACTGGGCAATAAAGCTTGAATTGTATTAATGAGAAGGAATCACTTCTAATTTCATATCATTAATAAAGAACGTTCAGAAGAAATATCAGGAAACAATGTGATTATTTTTGGCAGTACGTCAAACTTTGGCATTAAATCAATAAAACTAAAGGTATACTAAGCAGTTTTGGCTTGCTTTTAGCACCCTTAGAGTGCTTCTCAATGTCAAGGCATCTGGCCTTGCGAGGCGATGTCTTGCGAGGCCAGGCGCCTTGCTTACGAGGACACTGTCCTTCCTTGGTCAAAGAAAACAGTGAAATGGAACAGACTTGCATCACGTGACCGCGGCTCTCACGGCGGTCACGTGACGTCACGTGACACGGGAGATAATGTTATATTTCATACGTTTTAGTTTCAATATAAATATATAACGAGCCTTTTACTTTTTAAATTGTGTATAGATTTATTAAATTAAAAATATAAGTGAGTTACTACCCGCTAGCCACTGAAGCTGCAACTACTAACCAACTAACCAACCATAGATAACTTCTTTGGATCTAAAAAAAACCATTTTAAATTAACTGACTTTCTTTTAAATCAAAAATTTGTCCCCGAAGTAGCTGCCGGCTTCTGATCCGCCATCCTTTTGAAAATACTGCAGTGTATTCTGGGTAATTTTTGACGAAGGCTAGGCTACAAGACACCTCTTGTGTATCCTCGCTCAGCTAGCTAAACGGCTAACAAATGGAGAACACATGCCTCGGTACAACATGAACATTGGAACACGTCTTGGCGGCTTCCAATGACGTATCTCCTAGGCAACCGGGGCGGGGCCAAGACATTAAGGCAAGGTTCCTTGGCATTGAGAAACACCCCTAGTGTGCATTTGTGCTAGCCAAACTATCACTGTGTGTTCGTTTTTTAAACACCTTAATCTAACAGCTAAAATGTCTCCCAGCATTCCTTAGTGTCTGCAGTGGTGATTCATCACTAAATTTACTTAATCAGCTGTGTTCATGATCTAAGACATGCAGGAAATGTAACACAGACTGGACCGGGAACTGTGATGTTGCAAGTACGATATTCTGGCTACAGGGGCGATAGAGTGGCCTTTCATTAACCCTGTAAATTGTAATTTTAGCACATACTGGCTCAAGAAAATGATAAAAAAAATATTTAAAAAGTTGCAAATTGTCCCTTTAAATAGTTTTCCATTTTCTTTTTAAGTGAAATAACACCTTCTACTGTATAGAAACTCCTCCCGTTCCTTAGTCTGTAAACTCTGTCTAATGTGAGCTTAAAACAGCGTCCTGTTCCTCACGGGTCTTGATCCTGTTGATAATCCTGTTTCACCATGAAGGACGTGCAGTATCGTCCACTGTAGTGAAATGCAAGCTAATAATTTACAATAATATTGTTTCAATGTAGGATTATGTGTGTTAAAATTCTGTTATTTATTTAACATGTGTCGTCGTCATAGCTTGTCTTACTCCGGTGTGTTTTTTTTATCAGCTCCAGTGTAACGTGAACGCTGTTCATCACATAATATTATAAATCCAGCGGGGTGAATTCTGGCAAAGTTGGCAGCTTGTCTACATCGGTGCAGCAGGGAGAACATGAGCAAAAGTTTGTAAGCTAGCTAACAAATAACTTGTTTAAAAACGGCTCTTTATGAGCTCCGCCTGTGAAATCTTTCCACATGTGAACTGAGCTCGAACCAATAGAAACGAGGCTAAACTAGCAAAAACACAACCTCAGTCACCACTTTTCCTCTCTGTTCAATACTCCCATAATTCACTGTTACCCCACCTAGATGCGCTACTTCTTCCAATAACTGAACTGGGCTTGAACTATTTGAAGCCAGGCTAACCATAGCAAAAAATGACAGCAAAAAAACTATCTGGGGCACTACTTTTCCCTTTTAGTACTCGTGTTGTTCACTGTTTACATGCTTTTGTCAACCAATATGGTGGACCCGTGTGATAAGGTGACGTAGGTGCAAAGGGTCAATAGCCACACACTGCTTTTCTGTGACTTTGGTGACTAAATATATTATCAAAATGGTACTTTGCTTATATTCTAATGTGTTTGCAGTGGTCCCCAGTAGGAATGAATTCCTTGTATTTAGGGGAAAAAAGTTTTAGTGCACCTGTTTCAGGAATTTGAAGGGAGCCGGATCAAAGCTGAGCTTCAGACGGCAGGTTTTGGAGTCTTATTTGGACATCTCGCCTCTGATTGGCTAACAGCAACACAACTCTACCACTGTTTTCATTTGCTTTGCGATGTTGCAATGCATCTCCACAAATAACACAAGACTCAAGGGGTTCTGCCATGTTGTGGACTTGCTAATGCTAACAGATAGCTTCTACTAGCTGAGATTTTCTTTGCTATTTCCTAGCTGGAGCACACATGAAAGAGGCACACTTCACAATAAAAGCCACGCAAAAGCCAGTTTCAAAGTAAAAGATGTTTTCAGATTTGTGTTTGAACTTGTGTGTTTTTTCATCAGATGTTTTCATCGACCTCATGTGGGCTGGATGTGGCCCATGGGCTGTAAACCCCCATGCCCGATGCAAACCGCTATAGATAATCTATGAATTTTCACACATGTTTTGAACTACAAACACATCTGTTTCTATGTTTATGAGGTCCTAATAATGCCAGAGGAAGTTAGAAATGCTCCCAACTCAGGATGAGAGAAATTAGTAAATTAGTTGTCATTAAATAACTTAATTTTTTTTTATTGTGCTTCACGGCTCATTTATTGTCGTTGCCTGTGTCTTTTTGAGTTTTGCTAGACTGAATTAATGAGTTATTATTCTTCAAACGCCCCTGTGGTGTTAGAAGTGATTTAAAGACATAAACTGACCATCCACAGTGGTGGGCTTTGATGAGCTCCGACACACCAAACGACATGGAGCCCATGAAGTCATTCCTGGTGGTTCTGTCCCAGTCCCACACCTCGATGGACAGACGCCGGTCCTTATCGGTCACTTTCAGCTTACTGGGCAGTCACACAAAAGAAAAATATGAACAAGAAACCCTCAGTACATTCTGTTCTGGACAAGAGAGCTCAATCAAGTTTTCACTCACAAGGTGAAAGACTCGTTCCAGCAGGGATTGAGAGAGGAGCGGATGGTTCTGGTCTTTTGTTTGGTCTCATTCTTTGGGTCTGGGATGAGTTTGAGTTTAACATACGGGTCTGATAAGCCATTTGGGTCCATAGGAATCAGGTTCCTGGCTTCTCCCACTGGAAAGAAAACATATATGCAGTCAGTCTCAAACACAAGCTGACTTCAGACTTACTCAGGCTAACCCTAACCCAGACCACAAACAGAAACAACCAGAACTTGGTGTGACCTCCAGCTCAAACGTCAGTCTGTAGGACAGAGACTCAGGAAGACGTTCACACACTTTTATGGACATGAACATCATAATATTTAACAGCTTTAAGCGGTTTCGTTGACTTGTTTTCTTTCAGTTTGGTCCTATTCACTCTAACTCTGAGAAGGTTATTAGAACAGTCATCAAAATAAAACCAAATATCAATGAGGAGCTGGAGTTTAAAGGTGTTGGATTTAACTTTTTTAAATCATAACAACAAAGTCAGACAAACACAGCCACAGTACATATGGAATGATAAATAGAAACTATTACCGAAGGTAAACACATTTTCCTCAAAATGTCCAAAATGTCCCAACAGCTGTAACAATATAACAGCTGCTCAAGGTTTCCACAACAACTTTCTGTTAGGCGAATAAAAGTGATGGATGATGACTAAAAAATAAAAATAAATCATGTAATCAAGTTTAGGTTAAAGCTAAAGTAAATTATTATTAATTATTTTATTGTAGTTTTTTTAAAAGGTGGGGGTCAGGGTTAGGGTCATCCATTCATCCTTTCACTAAGTTATTCTGATGAGTGTTTAAAATGTTGTGTTATTCCTATTTTCATTTAAATATGCTGATTCACATTCAATCAAAAATAAAAGATCTAAATAGAAATGGATTTTACTGAAATATTACGTTGTTATTAATTTAAATTAGGTACATGTAGAACTTAAAGAGCAAGTCACCCCCTGTCAGATTCTTACTCAACTCCCACTTCCTGTTTGAAAAATGCAACAAATGCTGTTGCTTGGCAGACCGAGAGGGCGGAGCCGCTAACAAATACACATACAGGCTCACAATGGCATTATGACATCATAATGTACCAGATTACATCATAGCATACCTCTTAGCCAATAGCGGTGGCAGATTTAAATTCAAATACGGTGCAGAATTTTTCCCTGACGACGGCGCAACACTGACAGTTTTAGGCAGAATATTTGAATTTTAACCAAGATGCACTGAACTGCCAAATTATTGACTACACGTGTCTGTAGCATGATTAGACTCTCCTTTATATAGTTTATCAGCAAAAAAAAATGTGATTTGGGGGTGACTTGCTCTTTAACATAACATACTTCACACTCCTCAACAACCTTCCTGTTTATAACTTATTAAAAAGTGAACAAATCATATCCTTCCCTCTTCCCCAGTGTTCACCGTTCAGTCATTCATCTTGTGAATCCAAAAGCATTCTCTCAATGTTATTGATTCAGTCTAAATCAGATACTTCAAGCTTTTTATTATTTATGATGATTATGACTTACAGCTGATGAAAACCCCACATTCAAAATATCAGACAATTAGAATACTGTGAAAAGGTTCAATGTTCTAGACTCAAAGTGTCAGACTCCTAATCAGCTAATGAATCTGGAACACCTGCAGAGGGTTCCTGGGCCTTTAGAGGGTCTCCCAGTCTAAGTTGAATGACTGAAATAAATGGACTTTTGCACCATGTTGTAATTTTTCCATTTTGACCTGCAGAACCTGGGGTTGCATTATTGATCCCTGTTAATGAAAGTTCTCTTTGCTCTCACCGTTTCATCCATTAGGGGGCAGTGCACGTCCCTGAACATCAGTCACGTGCTTTTCTCATCTTTATGAATGTGGTGTTTTAATGTCACAGTTTGACTTTTTGTCCAAAGCTAATTCTCTGCTGCAGTCATCTACCTCCCTCACACTGATAAAAACACACATGCACTCACACATGCATGTGCGCGCGCACACACACACACACACACACACACACACACACACACACACACACACACACACACACACATAACGAAGAGCAGAAGGAAAATCTCAGCATCCCACGTTCTCTAAAACGGCGTTCACAAGCATCAGTCAGTTCCATGGCAACGCTGGCTCCAAATGATACCAAAGAAACTTCAACAGGCAGCGAAACGAGCTAGTCAGGGAAACACACCAACACGTCAGGAGGAATGCTACTTAGTTTTTTGTATATTGACAAAGTGTGTGTTCATTGTCATGTTGTCCTTCAATCTGTCACTGTCATTTTAACACACACACACACACACACACACACACACACACACACACACACACACACACACAATAAAAGATCATCATCAAGGTGCATCTCTGGTGTCGGTTGTTGCTTAGATACAACAAGAGCTGCTTGCCGTCTGTGTCCTCCCTTCATCTGATCTCCTTATGAGGTAGCAGCTAATAAAATTACTGGATTTATTTGTGTGTTTTAGTCTTTTGTTTGGGCATGAATCAGCCATGATATGAACACAAAACATAGACTTCTGTTTAAATTACTGTGCCTGTGTCGTCTATTCAAGGCTTCAGCAGTAGTATGAAACAAAAGTTGCTCCTCAAACATTCACAACAGTTCTTCGTCCCTGCAAAAACCCAAATGGGTCTTTGAAAATCTTCAGACAACAGACCGATATATTTCTACTAAATCTGGGTGTTATATGTTGCACTTTGAGCTTTACTCATCTTCGAACGCCACTTTCAATCAGCACATAACAAATCCTGCCATAACCATTGCCTTTGGCAAATAAAAGCATCTTCCACATTAGTTGCCTCGCATATTTGAACAAAGCGTAAATAAAATAAACAACTGTGCCACAGGAAAATATGATGCATTTGTCAGAAGGGGCGGGTGCAAACAGGGCTGTGGTGGGCTGACAGCATAACCTCCCTGAAGAAGGCTTTGAGAAGTAAATGTGTTGTTGCATAACAATGCCATGTGCAGCCAATGAACGGCTGATAATCTGGAGGGGAAAGCTGCACGACCAAACGGGAGCTGGATGGATCCCTACTGTGTAGTGTCAGGGATCACACACACACACACACACACACACACACACACACACACACACACACACACACACACACACACACACACACACACACACGCACGCACGCACGCACGCACGCACACACACACAGAGTGGATTTAGGATTCCTGTTTCTGGTGAACATTTTCAGAAGGCACAGCTGGGACTTTTAAGACAAAAACAATAATCTAAAGGTTTAGGAGAATGATGAAAAGAGTGTGACGCCAGAAGCAAAACAAGAAAGCAGAAACAATCTGTTGTTTTCTCAGGAGAGCACTTTTAATTGGCTTCCACTTTAGAAAACAGAATGAAGAATACATCATTTACATATATTTAATGAGCTTTTGTCCAACTGTAACATTTTACAAAACAAAATAAACAGAAATATGCAAATCATGCCTCATCATTTATCTTCAGCAGTATCATATTATGTATCAGGTGACCTAGCTACATAATAAACATAATTGTACGGAAGCATGTTGGCGTCAATGCAAAGAAAATAGTAGAGGGGCTGCACTTGTAATAACAAGAACGTTTCTTGTTAGAACGTGATCTAAATCTTGTTTAACACAAAACTTTCTCTCAATAAGACGTAAGAGTTGCTTGAACAAGAAAGTTTCTCGTAACCATAGGCGTCATTTTAACCGGGGACGCCGGGGACATGTCCCCGGCAAAATTTGTGATTGGCAGCTGTGTCCCCCCCACTTTCAAAAACGCCTGCTGATGAGGATTTTTGTTTTACCAGCTCAGATCTTATACCATGGGTCGGCAACCTGTTCCCATCAAAGAGCCATTATTACCCGTTTCCCACGGTAATTTTGGACGGACCTTAATAAGCAGTGACTTTAGTGAAGCAGGCAGGTCGCGCTAGAAAATTTAGTTTAAAAAGACGTCATAAATGTTTTCCCCCGTCCTTTTTATTTATAAAATATGAAGTAAAAACTCACAATTTAATTTTCATTCATTTGTCATTAATATGTAGTCTACACCCGTGCGTTAAGTGGACCATCTTCCAGTAAACGCAAAGCTGCAGCCCACCTCTCCAAATGCGTAAAATGTGCATCAGCCGCTAGTTAGGCGCGCCGCGCACCATCAGCTGATCAGCCCAGACAAGAGCAGAGCAAATAGAGAAAGAATAGAGGATAATTGTGTCTGGATGTGGATGGAGATTACATTTTACAGCGGCCTGATCATCATTTAAATACGTAAACCATCACTTCTAGTCCACGCTATCAGCATTATTTTAATTGGTGTGTGTGTGTGTGTGTGTGTGTGTGTTTTCCACTTCAAACACTGGTCTAACCAACCAGACCAGCGTACCCAGTAACACATTAATGTTACAATTAAACAGTTTCCCTTCATGTAGGCTAGGAACGTTTCACCTGCCGTGGCCCGATCGCTTCTGCTCCACATAAACTTTGTGCGTGATCAAATGTCTCTACGCGTCATGCGTGTCCATATTGGAGACGGGAACAAGCGCTGTTCAGCCAAACTTTCATAATTTCATAAAAAGAACATTTTTCCAAGTGACACATCCCTCAGAGAGACCGGGTTTCCAGACTGTTGCAGTGGGAGGAAATCTTATCGCATGCGCCGGTTCTGCACTGGGCTGCGAACCCCAGATCTTCAGCTCACTGTCCACCGTGCGCTCCGAGCCGCGCTGAACAGTCCAGTATAAAGCTCTGATGTTGATGGGAATAATTTACCTCCGCGGTGTGTGTAACGATTACATCCATGTGCATCAGTGTGCGTCGGGGTAATTCTTTCAAACCAAGCAACATCCTTGAGTTCATCTGTCAAAATAAACAGTCAAATGGAAATATCTGAAACCTGCCGTTTAACTGTTTTGCCTTCTTGTGAAGATTGTTGCAAAGAGAAACAATTAAACTTGATTAACCCCAGAGCCACCCAGAGAACCAGAGCGCATGTGGGAAGGTTCCTCCCACTGAAGCGAGTGTTTTCCAAACCCGGTCTCTCAGAGAGACTTGTCACTTAGAAAATGTTCCCTGATTATGAAACTTTGGCTGAATAGCGCTTGTTCCTGTCTC